TGATCTGCAGAATGTGCTTTCTAAATTGTCCATACTACTGCTGCCTACAGAATCCCCTCTACTTGCACATCCATGATCTATATGTCTATCACAATTTCTCACTAGCCATCTTCTTCTACCAATTCATCCATAAGTAACATAAGTTGATACAGTAATCCACTGCCACTTGCATTTACACCATCACTTGCATCAATGTACTATAATATCATTAAATTATATTATTTAGATACAATTCTTGCTAATATATTTTCATAGCATATAGAGCTATGTATGGCTGGTATGATATCTTAAATATGCCAGCTAGAAAGGTCACAATATTGCAATGTGTAGCTGAAATTGTACTTTTCTGTACATAGCATCTTTGAATAATTTTTGTAGTTTACTCAGACTTTATATATTAATAAATATTATCTTGACATCTAACAATCAATAAGTTATCAGATCTAAGTACATCATAGACGTTAGATATTAGCTAAACCAGGCTGGTGTGTTATGTATGGTACAATCTAGTATGCCATGTACTAACAAAAATCCTTCTTACAACATGTGTATCACTCTTGTTGCCCCTAAAATGGGCCAATTGTTACTATTTACAAGCAAGTAATATAGGAGTGTGAGGATCCCTATAGATCTCTATTTTTATGATAAGCTGGTGATATATCACTAATGTATCACTCTTGTTGCCTCTAAAACAGGATATAGATTGGACTCAGATATTTCATTGGTATGTTTGTTATTAATATGGCATTGTGACCTACTATGTGATGATGACTTGAAAAATGATCGAGTGTTTGACTTACTGTTATGTACTCAAATAGATCACCTTCTACAGTACACACTTCTATGTCTCTTATGTGTCCTACCTATTTATACGACTTCCTGATCTTCCTAGGACATCTCTATGTTGAGTTATTGGATTATAGCTTGTCTGTTTATATTTTTTTACCATACATTGCCTATATCTTAGAATCCACTACACCCTGCCCCTTTGGTAACTTACTCTGAACTCTAGGTACTATACAACTTCACTACATCATTCAATACATTGTCAAATTACTCTAGTCTAATCTCTTTAGGTATCTCAGTAGCCTCTAGAAGTGGCTTACATCACTCTCATCTTAATACCTTGCTCTCAAAATATTGGTCAATATACTTAATGTTCTTTGGATCTTCATTAATGTCTAATAAGTTAGTAATATCTACTCAATTGCACTTGTATAGTATGAGCAGATTGGCCCTAATAGTTAGAGTGATTGATAGTCATATGAGGGAGTGGCTCTTTGTTCACATCATAAATGTGTATACAATTGTGCAGAGTACATGGTGTCACAAGAATGTGAGCCTAAATAGCTATCTTATACCCTGGTGATACTAAGAGAATGTCAAAGTGCTGCTTCATGATACTGAAAATATGTTTGATAATATTATGAGCAGATGTGTGATGAAGGTTGAACAACTCTTCCTTATTAACTAGTCTCAAATGAGTATTGTTAGTTGAGATATACTACAGAGAATAAAAGTTTTATCTGATGCTAGCATGACCCCACTCTGCTAGATGATACTAAACACTACAGTAAAGAACTAAAAGTTGTTGGGACAAGGGGAAACCCGGGTCCACAAGAAGGTATTTTCTAGGCAGAACAACCAAGTCATAATTGTGGGCTACATCCCAAAGCTAAGCATCTATTGCTAGCCTCTCCCATCCAGTCAGCACAAAGGTGAACTGGAGATCAAAGTCACAAGTAGATAGGCAGTTTTGAGATATAAAACCTTTGCAGTCATAGTATAGGTGGCAACTGGCTAAGAGAGGAAATATATAAATATGACTTCTACCAATTGCTCCAATAGCATTGTGAAAATATGGTCAACATTTTGGATTGTGATGAATTGCACTTGAGACTATATCTATGAGAAACAATAGATTGTAAATTATGCCAGTATTAATGATATTGATAGTGTAGAAAATATTCGAAGTAATTAAAAGAATCAACTTTAAGTCTCAAGCATAAACAGTTACTGCAGGTATTTTTCCCATTTTCCTTCACCAAACATTAAAAAACATTGATTGAGAAGATAGAATTTTTCTCTCATTTTGTCTGTCAAAAATTGAAGGATGGGCAAATATATTATAAAGACCAGCATCATTACTTTACAATGAAAATCCTCATTAATGATATTAAGTATTCTATAAACCTTAATAGAGTTATAAAACAGGACTTGGACTATAAGGAGTATTCATATAGAATGATGGGTAATAATAATAGTGTTCAATGGAGTTATATGAACAATAGCATGAGTGAGATAAGAATGTTAGAGGAAAACAATAAATGAATAAGTCAGAAAATAAATATTAAACTTATGAGTAGGGACATTTATTAATTTAGTCTAATATTAAAGTAATTATGTTTGTAAACATACAATTGACAGTTTTTATGTTACTAGGTCTTAGTTATGAATATATCATTATATAAATATATATGATATTAAATTGATATGTACCTCTATAAAAGTGCTGAATTACCATTTCATGCTATTAAAAAAGAAACAGGTTTTAAGCTTCAAACTATATTACTTTTGCACGCATATAGTAATTTAAGCTAATTCAGTTTAAACAGCACCTGAAGCTGCACCTATCTCTTGCTTGATCATGGAGTCTGTATCTATCTTGATAACCATCCTCATATCTTTCTCAATGAACTTCTTCATGATGTTTATGATGTTATTAGGAGGCTGCATTCACTCATTGATAAAATTATTTTGAGCATACTAGTCAGTGTAATAATACATTATGTATCAATCAGAAAAATAAAATAGAAAAACTTACTGCATCAGCTATGTTTTGGTGGAGCTCATTATTGATATCTGGCTAGAGTGTATCACCTATATGAACCAGTAGCCTTTGAAGAGTATTACGTTTACTTTGAGTCCTATGAAACAGTTCATTTCTGCAAAAGGTCCTCAAATGATTATGGGCATATCAGGGCAAAAAATCAAAGACTGAGACTTTCTGCCTTTGCATATCCTCATTGTTAACATATCAACAGTTCTTTATAAAGTGACCTTTGACATCCTGAAAGTCTTCATAGATGACTCAATTCACAATCTTCCCTACAATCGTCATATTATTACTCTAATGATCCACATGACTTAGCCACTGAAGATTGAGGAGGTATCTGTTATGCCAGACATGACCATATCAGTTACTGCTATAGAGGGACCTACAGATGAAGTTCTGATCTCCATCTTTGGGGAGTGTGCGCTCTCTGAGATTGATGTACACATTTTCCAAAAGACAGAAAACATCCTTGCAGTACATCTAGAGGCGATATGCATGGCTATTGTGCTAGTTTGTGAAGATACAGAGTATGCCACCCCTAATCAGGAACCCACTATCTCAAAGGCCCTTTTTGGCGGCACTAATAGTAACCCAAAACCCCTTTTCCTTCAAGAATTTCTGAATCAATGCATCATGTTACATTCGTTTGGTAAGCCCTTTATGATTAGAGGCCACACTTGGTGTCATCTCTCATCCATGGAATATTTCTTTTGGGTGAAGAGAGATGATCAATTCCCAATTGATGCCTGTTTCCAAGATCCTGCAGATATAGTGTATGGAGTAAGGGTTTCTATTTATTTCATACTTTCAATTTAATGTACAAACTTGATATAGATCTTGGTGCTCAAGATAGACATGGATATGGTTATGGACATGCTTGAACAAGGACTGAGTAAAATCAGGGATTCCTTCACTGCTTTCCAAAAGAAGCTAGAGCCTCACCTTGAGTGCACTGCCCTTGTGGAAACCAAAGTCAGGTCCCATACTGACTGGGTTTTGACCTCGAAATGAATCATGAGCACATCAGAGGTTACTGCCCACAATTGCTAATTTGCCTAGTACTGTGCATGCTTCAGCATGAAGAGTAACATTGATCTCCCTTATGTGAGTTCAGAGACTAAAAATGGGGAGAAAGAGCCAGAGATCATTGGAACCAAATGTCTAAGCACATTACTGCTTCTTTGTTCCAGGCACACAATCGAAAAGACTTGAACAGGAATCATACAACTGAATCAGTTTACACATTTTGAACTTTGACTTCATCAAATCATGTTATATAGATATATTTCATCATAGCAATCATGTGCATCATTACTTTATACTAGCAATAGTACATATATACATCTCAGGCTCCAAGGACTGTCTCAAAGTTGCATGTGTCATATTTCTCATACATAAATATTGGGCTTAACATACAACATTCGTTAGCCCTTTAACAAGTCCATGTGATACTACAAATTCTCTATTTTTTCTATTTATCATATACATATGACTAGTTGAGGTGGGGCAGGTTATAAAGCAGAGCCTCTTCCAGTCATGAGAAACATTCTCTCTGTCTATTCTTTGTAAGAAGCATGATTCTCTTTCTCTTTAGAATAAATAATAATAATTCATACATGCTAAACTCTCTCTCTCAATTTTGTATGAGAGCTTCTATATAGTTCTATATATCTCTAAATTCTCATTAGAAAGGGATATTAAGCAAGGTCATCGCCGGTGATGGTACCTAATATTATGTAAGGAATTGTTTTTCTTGCAACTCTACTTATGGGAATGTGCATTTATCCACCAGACCGCCGGATTCTGCACATGTGCAATGGTTCAGAAGTGACGAAGCCGAGCGCTGCAGCGCTGAGGGCTCGGCCAGTGCGTGTGTCCCACTGTCCAACCAGTTGCCAGCATCTTTGTTTGTTCGGGTTTTCAAAGGGGGGCTTTTAGGTGCATTTCTGCCATTGGAGTCAAATTCAGAGCCACGTTTAATGGATGTGACAGGTCCTGTAGATGTTGGTGACTCATCTGCTACTCTTGTTTGGATGTCCAATGAGTCATAGGTCCTGATATCTGGAGATGCGCTGGGCGAGCTTTTACGTTTTAACCTTGTACACACTTAAAAATCAAATTCTGATTTTACCCATGCTTCAGCGTTGACCCTCTCTTTCACCCAATGTCGACTCCAATTTCGATGTCCCTTCTTCTAGAGCAAGCTGAAGCCATAGTAAGCCAAACTCACCAGAAGGGAGGTTTGAACTTGTCAAGTTTTAAGAGAAATGCCAAACATTGGTTCCCATCTCTACATTTTCCTGCGACAGATACATATCAGATTGCTGCCAAAAAGGTTTTAGACATCAATTCGCACATCCAACTCAGTCCTCCACCCTCTCTCCCTGAGGTGCACCCAAGCACCCCAAAGGCGCGTTTAGCAATTCATCTTCGCCTGAATGATGGAGACCCCACATACCCCGTTGCCATTATAGAGGGGGCTGAAGTTGATGTCGACGATGGCAAGACTACCCTCGGAGTTGTCCTTGCGATGATCCTTCCGTTTCTCAACTGCAGTCCCCAGCTTGCTTGCCACAACCACGACATTATGATCGAAATGTCCCACATGAACATTTTGTTGACAAGGAAACCAACTGAACAATCTGCCGACACTACAGAGTTTAAGCTCTACGAGGAGTTGGAGGACTGTACCCTCCTCCTGTGTCCTATTACCACCCTAGTGGTGAGGAGCCTGGTAGGTTCTTTCCATCCCCTTCAATATTGCTGCTGATCTTGCTAGTTCAAGCAAGCGGATGATGGGCCCTGTTCAACTACTTGGGTGGGGACGGACCACTGCACTCAGAGGAAGCCTCAAGCAACTTTGGAAATACAGTCATCCACGTCATCCACCACCAACTCCTCTACTGCTAATTCAACTTCCACACCGTTGACCAACCCCTCTACCACCCATTCAACTGAGGCTGATTCCAACAACCTTCACCATATGGAGATTGCGGTGAATGCATGGCTGTCTGAGCATCCAGATACAACCTCCCGATGGAAAATGTTCTCCAGTGTCTCCCATGGAAGTGTCCCAGTGTGGACTGTTTTTCTAATAGTGAAGGAGACGCTTGCACTGCTGGTCTCCGAAGTAAGTATTACATCCCTTCAACCATCTTTGTTAAACGCCAATCCATTCCCAGGTTGCCAGGTTTCAGAAAAAGCACCTCCGCCAGGTGATGAAGCAGTATAACATTGGCATCCCCCATCTGAATGCAGCAGATCATGTCGCCTATGCCACTGACTTAATAGACAATTCTGACCTAGAACTCATCAAAAGAAAGCTTAAGGGTGTGCAAAAGCGGGGTGTTGCTCAGTGCGTGGGGGAAGTTCTGGACTGTATGAAGGCTCAGAGCTACCCACTGTCATGATTTTTTTTTTCATCTTTCATCTTTCATTTGCTCATTCTGTCTTTTCATATTTCTACTGGTCCAATAGCCCCACTATTCAATTCTATTGTATTTTGCCCATTTTATTTTTTCCAAGTAACAGACAGTGAGAAATAAAATGAGTTCTAATTGAGGTCGACCATTGTCTTTAAAGGTTCTCATCTGTCTTTGCATTTATCTGCTTTATATTTCAAGGTTAGATGTGGAGCTGATCTCAATATAGTTTCCTCTAGATAACAGCAGCATCTAATCTCCAAAAATCCCCAAGATTTCCTTGGATATGAAAGTAATTCTTTGTTCATTCACTAAATATTAGTAATCATTTCAGGAAGGTGGTATAAAGATGTAGTATTAAGAAAGTAGATGATATGTGTTCTCACAGACAAATAGTTGTACTAGAGTAAATGATATTCTCAACAATCTCCAGATAATTAGTATTTTTGCTTGTTAAGATATATAGCATAAGTATATAAATAGTACACAAGATAAGTTTCAGAATTGGCATGAGTGGCTATAGTCACTGCAATATATATTTGGTTAAAGGAAAGAATTCACTTTACATGAATATGCAGAAATATGGGTAGTGAAGGGATGATGTACTCTACTGAAAAAGATTAACTAGTGGCTGAGCAAATTGTTGCATATGTCAAGCTAGACACAAACAATAGGTCTAGACTTCTAACATGTCTCAATAGGTCATTGTAGGAATGATCCTGAGAGCTTCATACCAGAAATTCACCTCCAAGTTCCTCTATACTATACCTAAATATGTGTCCTTGAATGTTGTAAGGTGAACAGATAGTGGAATGTATGTGTCACTATTGCCATAGTGATGTGATGTGACATTAATGACAAGAACATTTTTATAGTAAGCCACTACCTTGGAAATTCAGCCAATATAATGCTAGTAACAGAGAGAATGATCTTCCAAGCATATGATCTTGCTAAACAGGATAGGAGAGCAATAACTGTGACACATATATGGCGCTTGCATTCCATTAATCCACTGCTGTAGGTCAGCATCATGATGGATACTATCATCCAGAATCTGGCTCTATCTATGATTTTGATCATCCTAACACATTTCAGCACATGAAGGATCACAAATATGAAACTCACTGGCAGCATAATGTGTATTATTCATTTGTGAACAGAGATGAATGGGAGCTAACCAAATTTCTGAATGATAATCTCAATTAGGGACAAATACCTTGTTTCTTGAAGTTGTTGTGGGTGAGTGGCCTAACAGTTATGTACAACATTAGCTCTAATTACTTGCTAGGTGAGGTCAGAAGCATGGAAACCGCCAGCATACAAATCAGCTCTATAATTGTTTACTTTCATAGATGCTTTGCCAAAGGGACCTAAGTGGTGTTGTATGATGATTCAGACTGAAGGCTATATTACTACCCATCCTATACACCTCATCTGGTGTGATGCCTTGGAGGTGATGCACCACATTTTTGGCAACCCAGCATTCACCAACAACATGGAGTTTGACCCATATTAGATTTAAGATAATGGAGAACAAGAATATAGTGAATGGATGTCCAGCTTGTGTGTGCATGAGATCTGGGCTTGTTTTTTTCTCTCTACTAAAGTCTAATTCTAATGATTCAATTCTTTTGTTCTTAGGACCAGCTTCCTCAGTGTCATGCATGGTATGTGATTTATACCATGTCAAGAGTGATAAGGAAGGTAGGAGAGACTGTCTAGCCCAGTTACCTCTCTGTTTTTTCTTTGATTCATTGTCTTATATTTTATTTCTCACTTTTCAGACTTGTTTTATCTTGTATTTTTATGAATATGTGACCTTCTGTTTATTTCTCATTGTTTATTTTTATTTGGCTTCTTTCAGCCACCAAGTTTTGTATCTCCATTTATTTCTGACTGTTTATTTTTATTTAGCTTCTTTTAGCCACCAGATTTTATTTGTCAGTACATTATGTGACTGGGGGATATTCTGGTTTGTAACATTATTCAAGCTGACTCTACATGTTTAGTCATGATTGGTCATGCTTTGTAACAATATTTAAACATGACTCAACATGTTCAGTTATGGTTGGTCATGCTTTGTAAGTTCTTTGTAAGACACTGAACTTTGTTTGTAATGTACTTAGTAAGAAGGATGATTCAGCTCACCCAAAGGCTTGGTTTGTCATCTTCTGCATGACCAATCCCTGAGAAGAGTCAGTACCTTTCTGTCATGCTTTGTAATTTCTTTGTAGGATTATACAGTATTTATAATGTACTGTAGAGATACGACACTAGGTTCGTCACGTGCAGCCCGTGACGATGTCACACTTAGTCTTACAGGTTCGAATGTCCAGGTGACCTGTGACCTTACCCAAATAGATTCGCCTGCGGATCGTAGTGCTTCGCCGCTCGCAACGCCGTTTGCAACCATCTGACATGCTGCTTCGTGATTCAAGCAACTTGCTTCAGTCTGTCATGGATTCGCCTCGCATAGCGCTGACTGGTAACAAGTGGAATTGGAGACTCTGTGGTCTTAAAGCCTGCCAGGTGAGTCTACTAGTATGATCCGTTTTCAAGCGCCCATCATGCCATCGCAAACTGATATGTTTGTTGCTTCAGAGTGGCTCTCATGTGGTCGTGTTTTTGACCAGAGCAAACTGCCGCCTTCTGTTCAACATGAGATCACACGATTACTCGGGATCCCAACTCCAATGCAACCAACCATCCCATCTCGGACTCTGCCTGTCGCGCAGCTACTCGACATCAGTCTTTGCGCATCGCTGGACTGTGATCTTAGCCCAGACACCATCATTTTCTCAACAAACCCCCCTCTCCTCAGCCTTCCCAACGATTTCACGACATGGTCAATTCCCCCGCTCCATTGCGTCACTCAGCTCCTCGATCAGTTCAGTCAGGCTTGGTTTAATGGTCACACTTCAATCATCCATCCACTTTCCCCAACATTTCACCTTCCGTTCTGGGTTCTTTCATACTGGAGGGACATGTCATGTGCCCTGGAGGCTCGTCTCGCCTGGATATCGGCCCATGATTGGGTTCTTCAGAGGCTTGAGGATGAAGAGGACACGGGTCATGGTGCTTCTGAGTCAGTAGTTGTAGACGAGGTTCTAGATTCGCTCGAGCGTTTGCCATGGGATGTTGACTTGAAGGGGTTTGGTGCTCAGACCAATCTTCGCACACCAGAGCTTCTCCCTCTGCTCGCTGACACGATGGTCAATGGTCGTGTACTTGATGCTCTTATTGCCGCTATCAATGATCGTGCGGATGAACACAATGATACTGCTGTCGAGACGCTTGATTTTTCAAATATATTGTTCCTTGGCGACACGCGGTGGTCAAAGTATCATTTCGACAAAGCCTTTACTCGGCTGCATTACCTCGGAGACTCGCTTCACGATGGCACCATACAGCGCGTCATTTTCCCTGTCAATATTGCCAATGTCCATTGGGCCATCGTTAGCGTTGATGCTAGCACACAGATGATCTTGTACGGTGACTCACTTGGATGGTCCATGCCTAGTTCATATGTTGATGCTATCCGCCGCTGGTTGAAAAACCACGGATTCGCACCATTTGACAAAGGATCCTTGTCTCATGGGGAGCAGACAGACTCCTTTTCATGTGCAATCGCGGCTCTCAATACCATCAAGCACGCTGTCTTCAACCACCACCCGCTGTTTACCAATGACTCGAAATATTGTCTTCGCATGGAGGAGTTTTTGATGTTGACAAAGAGCCACTTCGAGGTTCGTTTTTACTGTGTTTTTACCACTCAAAAAACTCATTTCCTCGTAACAGTCTGAGGAGTTACTTTCTGAGTCTTCGGAGAGCTCTTTCGCAGATGACACTAGTGATTTCAGCATCGAATTTTCATCTTGTCCTCCATCATATCCCAGTCCGGTACCAGCAACAAGCCCCTCCCCTCCACCGACAACATCTAGCTCAGAACGTGTTTCCTTGAATCTTAGGGTTCGCGAAGAGGACAAATCTGTTGGTTTGTTCAAGTACTTTCCAACTACGACCTGCGAGGAGCATCTCAAATCGGCATGGACTCCTTTCTCTTGGGAGCTAGAGAGTCGTGAGCGGGATGCCCATAGGGTTCGTGTTGAAGGAGTAGAAAGAGATATACGCTGATGTGAGGGAAATAGGGAACGGAAACAAATCCAACGTGCCCGTGAAAAGGCTGTGAAGAAGGCCACTACAAATCACACATCCGACATCACTCCTGCCCTCCCAATGACAGATCTTGCCGAGGTGTCTCGCCCATATCGCGAGATTCGAAGAGATGTGAGGGCGCATAAACCTAGTGTTCAACCTGGACGCAAAAGGAAGCATGAGGACACTGTTGCAGTTCGTGTCAACTGGCAACACCCCTTGTTATGGGCTACTATTGCTGAAGCTGCTGTTCGAGTTGGGATTGGCATGTCCCCCATAGAGATTGTGCGCGATCTTCAGCAGAGGGACTTAGCACGATTCCGGACATTGACTCCGCAGGTAGTTGGAACATGGATTGACCGCTCTGGTGACAAAGCTGTTTGGAGTGCAGCAACTCTTGCTCGTGTTCAGCGACGCAGCCTGCCCATGTACCAAAACACACGGAAACACATTCTATCCTCCTATCCCAACGTGGTCAAATTGATCATCAACGACCTTCAGTCTCTCCGTCAAGTTGGTGTTGCGTTGGACACTCTCCGCTGCCGTGGTATCATCCTTGCACGCCTGCAACACTCCATTCCTGATATTTTTGGGCATGTCGCCAAGGACGGTTCTCGCTTCCGCTGCACGGAGAGTTGGGTGAAGGAGTTTCTTGTTGAGCATCTCAATTGGAGCTTCCGCAGGGCAACACGTGCAGCTCAAAAAACGCCACCAAATGTTGAGCAGCTTCTCCTCGATCAGTTCCTCCGTTTAACACTCACAATTCGTGACTGCGCAATCTTCGATGCTGCATTTGTCGTCAATATTGACCAGACGAATATTGTCTATCAGCCAGCAAACACCTCGATGTTTGAAACAATTGGCTCGAAGCAAGTCTCCGTGATCGGGCAGGAAGAAAAACGAGCGTTCACCGTCATCAATGGAATATCTGCCGGAGGTCATGCCCTCCCCTTGCAACTGATCTACGAGGGGAAAACTTCATGCTCTATTCCTTCAAAGTCTACTCCGCAATACAAGGAAGCGATGGAACTCAAGTTCAAAATCTCATACTCAAGTACGCACACTTACTGGTCAACATTTCCCCTCATGTGCGAGTACGTTAATGACATTCTGGTGCCTTACTGGGAGGAGCAGAAAGTGTTACTCAATGCACCGGCTGACCAGGAGTGTATTTTGCACCTCGACGTGTGGAGTGTGCACAGATCAATTCAATTTCGCACGTGGATGGATATGACCTACCCTTGGATCAAATACCGTTTTGTCCCTGGGGGCTGCACTGGTGTTGGTCAGCCATGTGACGTCGGTATTCAACGACCATTCAAACTTGCAGTCAAACAGACACAGCATGCTGATATAGTCAACGAGTCTCTTGTTCGACTCGCCCAAGACAAGTCTGTGTCACTCATCAGACTTGACACAACAATTGGCACCCTTCGTGATCGGTCATTGTGGTGGGTTATAAATGGATATCACGCTATAAACAAGCCTGAGCTTGTAAAGCAGGTTTGTTTCTCATTTTCTCGCACTGTCGAATCTTGATGCACGGAGCTAAATCATGTTTTAAGGCATTTTTCATGTGTAAGGCCGGGGAGAATTTCAATCTCTCATTCGCGAGCCTCGCAAGTCGAGAGGCGTTGCAATATTTACGTGATGTTCAGAAGAATGATCCAGCTGGATGGACGAGGATTGCTACTGCTCAGTACAAGACTGTCAGCGTTGACCAGGCAACAAACTCCGAGTCAGAGAACTGAGGCCACTGATACTACCGGAGCCGAATCCCCCTTCGACGATGCTAGCGAGCATGACCTCGATGCCAGTGACGTGCCAATGGATGCACTCCTTGATCATATGGCTTCCGGGGGTGAACACGTCCGTTCTGACTGCCGTATCGATGCAGATGGCGGACTTCTGTGTTCAAACCACTCCGAAGTCTATGATGTGGGTGACATTACTGCCAAAGATGTGGAGAGTGGCTCGAATAGTGTTCCGAAGGTTGATTACGGGCGTGGAAAGCGTAGACGCATCGCAAATTCGATGTATGATGATTTCTGGTCCCATTAGCGCATAACCTATGTTTTTTTTCCCATATGTCACAAATTAGCTTCGTCCCACCAAAAATTCATGTGACAGTCACACCAAATAGATTCGATTCATTAAGGGCTGTGACCTGTGACGAACCTAGTGTCGTATCTCTACAGTATATTAGTAAAAGCTGATTCATCACCTGGTTTGTAAGTAAGCCACATTCTTACGAATCCATCTGATAGAATTATGCTTAGTAAGGGGATTCCAAAAGGTATAAAAGGACCACATTTTCACCCATGAAATATAACTTCCCATTTTTTATTCTTCTCTCAAACCATGTGAGAGTATGTAAGAATAAAAGTGCAGGCAACGTGCCTTGAAGTAAGACTAAGACATATCATTATTCTACTCTAAAAGTTATATACTGCCTTACAGGGGTTGACTATATGCCTTTAATTATCATTATTCTACTAGGTTGTATACTACCTTACAGGGGTTGACTATATAACCATCAAACAGCTCTCATTCTAAGCTTTACATGTATACATAAGACTCTCTCTTTCAATGGAAAGTGAGACACAAATCTAAGGACGACAAAGTTGAAACAGACTTTCATAGGTTGAAGCACAACCTACTAGGCTGAAACAAACCTAATGAATTTATCCAGAACACAGAACATTCCATGACACTTCATATAAAGACTACACAAGAAAAGAACAACAAACTACATCCTCCCAAAAACTCACCACATTACCTCCCATGAAGTAGAAAAGTTGGAGACTATGAACTTAAGGACTGGCAAGAAGTCTTCACTGTGTATAATTGTGTTGTCATTATACACAACTTTTATGTAAGACCCTTAAGTAACAAGATACCGGGGTGCCACTAGCATGCCCATAGTTCTTGCTTCTGACAAAACACTGGTGACTCAACAAACAGGTGGACTTAAGATGCACCCAACACTCCTAACTATTGCTAATATTTGATCCGACATCTGTATGAAAGCTACCATGCATGCTTGGTCATGGGTGGCATATATGCCCATTCCCCAATTTGTTTGTCACCCAGACTTCTTCTCGCTCTTGCAAGCCCATGTTTGGCATTGGTGTATGGACATTGTCTTTGTGAATCTCAAATCTGCAGCTGTGACAGATACTCAAATGGTGGACCCAGTTGGTAACCTGCATTATGCATTTACTTCCCTTGTTGCATACACAGCCGACCTCCCCGAGCAACAGCTAATTGCATGTGTAAGCAAGAACACGTCACCTGTTACTTTGGCCATACAGTCACAGTTTGGGGACGAAAAGTTATATTTGCCTCGTTTTGGCCATCTAACAATCAAAGCCCTTCACCAACTTTGCCAATGTGTGGATCCTTGCAAGGTCCAGCACTTCCAAGAGAAAGCCAAGGTGCTTTTACTGAGTGGAGTCCAGCTCCCCTTCTGGTGTGACTGGTGCTTTTCTGATCCAGTGATTTTCCTTACACCTAAGATTCTTCATACTCTGCACAAATTTTTTTTTGATCATGTCTTCAAGTGGTGCAAGGAGGCTATTGGGGCTGATAAACTTGACACCCACTTTCACAGTCCATGGGCTGATTGATTTTATCTATCAGGCGCAGTCCCCCACATTTACCCCAACATCCATTGCTACTATGAAGGCCTTGCTCGAAGAGTTCCATCATTTCAAAGGCTCAATCATCCTCGCTAAGGCTTGCAGGGGAGCTTTGGGTCCTATCGATCACTTTCAAATACTGAAGCTTGAGCTCCTTGCCTCGTTCAGTTGAGCAATTCCTGACATAGGCACTATATTACAATACACAACTGATGTTAGTGAACATATGCTGATCACTCACTGCAAAACTCCCTTTGAGTGCACCAGTTACCAGTGTGCAAATTTCATCCAGCAGATCATTTGTCTTTTGGATTGGGAAGATACACCATGTCAATTCAACCTTTATGCTTTCCTCCACTCAAACAACTCATCCCTCAATAATCTGACTGTCAATGAATTTGACGAAGTCGTTGACATGGACCCAGCATTTGCTTGGATCACACATGTTGCTCCTGAAGATTTGTCTTGTTTTAAAGACCCTTGGCCAGTTTGCAACCACTTCCTTAAGGGCCTCCTATCTGATGATAGTGTTGCAGCCTTTCACATCACCATCTCTAGTGACCTCACCAATAAGACACCTGTCTTTTTGATGTAGCACTATGAACTTCCAGATTTTTGTTACAGTTTCACTCCCTTATCAAGCGTGTTGACAGAGTTGGGTCCTGCTTCCAGAACCACTTGCTCAAGGTCTGGTTCAAGTTCCATCTCCAGCTACACTCATTGCTGCACCCACTACTTGTGATGCCAAGTCAGTAAGTGCAGGCACACCCACCATCTGACACTCACTATCTCGGAAACTGTGATGTTGTGCTATTGCGAACACAGAATGGCAGTGAGTTTTCATTATCTACTAATTCTCAGTGTCATACTCATGCTCTGCTCTGCTAGATCATATCATTGCTCAAGTTCAGATGGTTTTTGCATTGTCAACAAGGGGCGCAGGGCTACCTCCTGCGCTTTCTCATCATCCCTTCATTTATGTGTAGCCTTTCAAAATTGTTGCACAATCCCGTGATGATCCTGCTGTCTTCATGAACCGTGTCAAGCACCAGTTTGTAACTCAATTGAACTGATTTCTGTCTATAATTAGGGAACTGCACAGGTAAACCTGTGGGTGTCCCAAGGTCAACCTGTACCCATACCCGCCATGGGTATGTACCTGTGGATACAGGTACAGGTATGGATGTGGGTACATACCCATGGTGGGTGTACCCACCCTCACCCAATCCCAACAGCCACCAGTGCTTAGCACACATGCACAGCACATGTCCAGCACATGTCAGCAAATGCTGATGTGGCTTGAACATATGCAGAGGACACTGGAAAGTGCCAGAAGAGTGGAAGGAGGGACAAGACAGGAAGAATGAGATGGAGGTAGGAGGTAGGAGGTAGGATGCAGTGTAGAGCACGAGTGGTGGTAGTAGCACGCATAAGTCGAGAAGGGGAAGTGAGATTATAATTGAGAATGTATAGATAGGACATATCCTATGAATGCAAGGTTAAAGATAGTAGTAAACAAGAAAAAAACATGCGCACCTGGAACAAGCAGCAAACAACAAGTCTACTTCAACCACACCTAACATCACCAACCCCCATCCAGAGTTGAGTCTACGTGTGCAAATGTAGATGGTGAGTAGACATGAGTGAGGAGGAAACACTCACAAGTGAACATTCAACACATGGCATGTGAAGACAAGCACAAGCAAGTGTAGAGTATGGAACATGACAGAAAACAAGCTGGAATGGGTGGGAGTAAACAAAAATAGGTATAGAAAAGTAGTATAACACTCGCAAGCAAGCATAGATATAGGAGAATGAGTGTCAAGTGTAAGCACTACACTGTGACTGTGACGGTGACCTGCACCAAACCGGTTCGGTGCATGGATGACTAATGCTCTCCCATGAGCCCGATATCCTAGAAATCATTATGAACAATCTTCCTTTACTTTATGGTTCAGACTGCAGTTCAGATAGTATTTTCATTTCATTTCTCAGACAGACTCAGATAGGCTGAATATTCTTGTATATTTAATTTTGCGGTAAATTCTGCTTAGTCAGCAATAACAATGACTCAGACTGAATCCCACACATGTCAAGTAACAGTGTAAAATAGTTCTTGCATAAGTTGCCTTGTGGGAACTTTCTTAACACTCTAAATACACGGCTCGCATCATTTCTACGGTCAATAAAGTAACATCATAACAAGACACCAACAAATAACATAATCAGTCTGTTACTTAATATTTGTCACATGATACTAAGTTATATGACTCTAACAGTCAGGTGACCTATGATCCTAAACCAAATCATGACAAAGCAACCTTTTGAGATGACTAAAGCTTGATGACACAAATTATAAAGCACATGACTACAGTAAATAGTATTGGTACAATCTGACTAAGCCTATTCCCCTTAGAACGTGGGAAATAGTAACACAGCCACCATAATTTATCTATATAAGACCCCACTTTTTGCCAATAAAAATATGCATACAGGGAACTTTTAAGCCCCACAAAATAAATTTGAGTGTGAAGTGTGATCAGTATCAACAACAGTGACAAGAGCTGTTAAGCAACTAACTGAGAGGTCATTGTAAGCAACATCCAGCAATACCTTTAGCTCATTGTCAACAACCATCAAATATCTTGAGCTCACTGTGCTCAACAGTGAGCAAAACTTTTTCTTTGATTTTCTACTGGTGAACCTCTAGTCTCTTTCTTTTCTTTTCTTTCTTCTTTTTCTCTTTCATGTCCTGTTTCTTTCTGTCTTTTTTTTTCATTTGTCTCTTTTTCTGTTCAGTTCGTTCACATCTTAAGTGTTATTGTCTGAATTTGTTTCAAGATCTTTGTGTTGTCTTTACGTCCATCTAAGCACCGGCTTAGTGGGAAGACTTCAGAAGTTGATAGTGACACTTGACCTCACTCATCTGAGTAGTGATACTGAGCCAGGGTTTTCTTTGTCTGCTAGACTTTAGTTGTTGAATAGGGGACTTGGTACTGAAATCCAAGGACGTCCGTTCCTGATTCTGTTTAATACTCATCGCGAGTTCCTTGGCAGCAGGTTCAATAGTGAACTAAGAGTTCTACTGATCACTGATTAGTCCTGACCTTTGATTCTACCTGTTTGTGCTGAGGAGGTGATTGTTATAATTTCGCACAACTTTCTGTAGTAAATTTATTACGAGAAGCATTGTTACTGAAGGAAGGGTTTCTCTTACCAATCTATTTCTTTTTTATCAGTACCATACTGTTGGGCTGACTTTTCTCTGTTTTCTAATCACTGCCATACCGTTGGAGTGAATCATTTTCTTTTTGTCATCACCATACCGTTGGGCTGACTATATTCTGTTTATTTTATTTTCTATTGTATCCATACTGTTGGATTGACTGGTATTGCTACTGACCTCACAGAAGTACTTTTTGTCTGAACATAGCTTGGGGAAGTGTAAACAGCCACCCACGAACAACCATGTTATCAGTCATTGGTATTTGTCTGAATCACTGACCGTGGAGATATTTGATTTTGTAGGTGTTTATCTATAGATCATCTATCTAAGAAGACAACGGGTACATCACAGGTATGAGTGTTTGCGCAGGTCACAAAATCCTGACCCATATCTGGCAGTACCTGTACCCCTGACCTGCTGCAGGTTACCCATACCTGTGCAATTCCCTATCTATGGTGGACGTGCTAATTGTTCTAAGATAGTGGACTTGTGGATTCGACGAACATCACATGACAAATGTGACAAAAATGTGATAACAGACAAAAATTGTAATAACTATTGAGCAGGTGCATTCTGCATCAATCACATACTCATTTATCTTGGTAGTAATATTGCGAACATTTTCCATTACTCAAAATAAGCAGAAGTGGAGTGGAAAGTTTGTTATTTCAATTTCTTAAGTTATTGAAAGTAGCAATCTAGAAACCTGGTTTAATGAGCCGCTCTCCACAGGTGCTCCATAGTACACTCCATGTACCTTGCAAGTTTCACTCAAATACTGTTTCTGTATCTGCAAAGCCCCAAGATGTATCTGTTCCCCCTCAGATAGCCTTCGAAAATGTTGTCAACAATGGATGAATCACCTGGGTTACCACTGGAAGAAAGAACCAAAGGGGCAGTATTCCGATGGACACGAGTGGGAAGATGTTGTTCATTTTCATCAAAATGTTTTCCTGCCAGCATGGAATTGTTGTCAGACATGGATGACAAAGTGGAAGCGGGAGGGAGACATTACCATTGAGGACATTGAGGCCAATATGGCTCCATCAGGTTGTCGGGTCATATTGTGGTTTCACAATGAGTCAACCTTTTATGCCCATGATCAACAGAAACAAAGATGGGTGCATAGCTCCGAAGGTGCAATCCCTCAGCAAAAGGGGGAGGGAGTATCTTTAATGGTGGCCGATTTTGTCTCCGCAGACTATGGGTGGCTCTGCTCTCCAGATGGTGAGGAGAGTGCTCAAGTCCTCTTCCGAGCTGGAAAAGCATGCAATGGGTATTTCACGAATGAGGATATTCTGGCACATGCCACAAAGGCAATGGATATCCTAGAAAAGTGGTACTCACATGAAGACCATGTTCTAGTTTTTGACAATGCAACCACGCACCTAAAACGAGCTGAGGATGCCCTTTCTGCTTGAAAGATATGAAAGATACCCAAAGGACCCCCTGCAACTTGGGGGGTACCCAGAACACTCAAGGATGCCAATGGCAACACCACTCTTGGGCCTGATGGGAAACCGCTAAAAGAGAAAATTCCTATGGCCAAAGCGATGCTCCCAAATGGAAATCCCCAGTCACTGTATTTTCCCGACAGTCATCCAAAAGCCAAATTTTTCAAGGGCATGGCTCAGATTTTAGTCGAGCGTGGCTATGCTGATGCTTCCAAGCTCCATGCTGAATGCAAGGATTTCAGGTGTCCAACTCCAATTGATGGCGAGAGGGCTTGTTGCTGTCATTGGTTGATGTATATTCAACCAGATTTTGTCAATGTTGAGTCACATCTTGAAACCTTGTGTCGCACACGAGGTTTTGATGTCATCTTCTTGCTGAAATTTCATTGTGAACTTAATTTTATAGAACAATGTTGGGGCTTTGTGAAACAGCTGTATCGAATGAAGGACCAGTCTTCATCAGAGGAAGTTCTTGAATGGAATGTTATTGAATCACTTGATGCCGTCCCAATGGAGTCAATGCGACGGTAAGCGCTACCTTGTTTCATTTGAGATTAACTAACCAAAGTTCAGTTTCGCTATGATGTCTGCAAGATTTATTGATGCATATCAGAAAGGCTTGAATGGCATGCAAGCTGCTTGGGCAATAAAAAAATATTGCGGCCATTGTGTTCTCCCACAATCCATTATAAAGGAGTTTGATTGACATTATACACTCCCAACAACACATTGATTCATGCAAATACACATTCTCTGCTAATGTTCTGCTTCATTTAGTACTATTGTTGCTCTCAATCTACCTTATATAGACTCCATTGTACCAAACTCTTCTACTTCTACTTACTTTAATCCTTAGCACGCTTCGGCATGGGTTCGGCACTGTTCGGCATACTTTTGAGACACTTATCCACACAGCATCACACTTTGTCACATGCATGTGATGTTGGTCGAATTCACAAGTCTGCTATCTCATTACTTCTGTGACATGTCTAGAGCTCTATGATACATTTTACCTGAATAACTTCTCAGACAAGGAGTGGTACTACTACCATATGTCACATACAGATTCTCCTTAGTTCATTGATGTCATGGTGTACTGAGTTTGTGTGGATGATGGCAGCAGGATCAATTGTATCAATTATTTTCATCAAATATATTGTATTGTATCACTGAGCCTATCACATCTTATGATTCTTGTCCACAAAAGATAACTTGGCTTATGTCTTATCGGCTAGATGTGGTGAGTAATATTGGTGTTCAGGCATCTCCACCAATCGTATGAGTTCGCTAGTGTGGTCATAAGTGTTTGTAAGTATCCATAATGTGCATTATAGACACTTACAAACACTTACAACCTCACTAGTGAACACATGATTGGTGGAGATGTTTTTGCTGCTATTATTTTATTTTGCTGGTTGAACTTACAAGAGATGGAGAACCGAACATTTTGATCAATGATAATCTGTCGCATTTCACTGAAGATAAAAGATGGGCTTAATTTAATCTGAGATCAAATAGATAAAAAAACAGACAACACAATGCAGTTAAATTGCATGATCAGAACATAACAAATAATGTGATTAAATGTAACTAATGCAAATCTAAGCACAATGAGTGATACACCTCCTTGTCCGAGAAATTGTTCAGATAAAAACACTCATATACCTCCATACTCATCGCTGCACCCACTGTACAGTCAGCGCCTTAGCTGTACATAGGAAGAAGCTCTACCGCATGCGTGATATCTGTGAGAGGAATGACTGCACCCAATCTTATCCACTGGCCTGTGGGCCCTTCCCGATATTTTTGGGCCACCATATACATACTGATGGCAGGCTGACTACCTGGATCCCCGATGATCTCATAGTACTGGACATAGAGGAGCGGTTGGTCTGCAAGGTAGTAGGGAAGTGTGATGTGGCAAGGTGCAATGGGCTGGAAGACTGCCTGCACTTGAGCAATATGATTTACTGTGTAATGATAATCAGTAATATGCAGCCAAGATAAGATAAATATTATTTACCTGTCTGGTTGCTCTGTATCGACTGCATAATCACAGCATCACAATTTATAGAGGAAACTGTTCTGATGGTGGGGCAGCCTGCATGACTTGACTAGGCATGATCATCCATGAGTGATAAATGGAATGCAGCTGTAATCAAAACTTATTCCACGTCTTCAGACAACCATAATCATTGCTCCATGCTGTTGTGAATTGACTGGTGGAAGCTTTCATAATATAATCAGGAAGTGCTTGTCCAAAATCTGGCAGTGCGTAAAGCTGCTGGATTTCATTGAGAGACATCTTGGCTCAATCAGGAGTAACAGTGATGTGAAAGGCAGCTGTAGCAGTGGAAGACAGGATACTCTTCAAAAAGTGGTTTCAAACTGGGCATGGCCCGACAAAACACCATTGATTCAGATCACTAGGTGCGATGCGGGCGATCCACGCAAGAGCAGGGTCACTTTCAGTGACCTCTTACTCTTCTGTAACTATGGCATTAACAAGGGGGGAATCATGCATCCATAGGAAGAGGTACAATTGGAATCGCCGCATTGACTCCTTGCAGTTAAGAATGTCAATGATTTGTTCTGTGAAGGTATGTGACTGGCATGATGTCCTCTTAAAAGGGAGTTTACAATCAGTAATGAGAAGACGCTCAGTGACATCAGCAGTCCATTGAATGAGGGCGCCAGTATCCTTGGTGAACATAGCAAAACTCTGCAAAAGCTCAAGCTTTGGGATGATAAAGTTGTCGAGTGTTCCTTTGGTGCCTCGTCTCACACCTGCATCCAATATTGCATGTTTATGATCATGAAACTCTTTGAGTGAGGTGACCATGGAATCAACAGAGGTGCCAGAATAAACAGGGCTTTGGGCCTGATAGATGAAGTCAATCAAAGCACAAATCACATGGACAAATGGGGGGCATGACCCCAGTAATAGAAGGAACCAAGGTGCATTGCAAGTCCCAATGTTCCTGACCAGTCATTTGTTTCATCTGACATACTCCGGATAAAAAATGGCATGTTCCTACTCTCTTGTAGTGACTTCGGAAATGGAGTTTGAGTTTGTCCTTTCCCACTGATTCTTTGCACCACTTGAATGGGTGGTCAAAGAAAAATTTGTGACAGGTATGGAGAAAATTCTCCTACCAGAAAGGAAGAAGGATCTGAGTGCTGCCAATTCCACCAAAAAGGCTGGTGAATGCCACTTAATGAATCAGCCTTGGCTTCCTCCTGGAATTCTCGCAACCTCCATGGATTGATCCATTGACAGATGTTATATATTGCCATAAGTGTATGTTCTTTCGTGCATGGTGGATGGCGATAAGTGTCACCAAAAGATTGAGACGTGGCCAATGTGATAGGAGAAGCGACCTTTGAGACACATGCTATAGCTTGCTGTTCTGGCAGATCCACAGTGTACACGACCAAAGGTGTGAAGCAGTGTCATAGATGTCCAGCTGGATCAAGCATGAACATGCCCACCATGGCTGCGACCTTAGCATCTGCAAAGACAATGTTCATGCACTTATGAAACAGATGTTGGCTGAGAATGGTTTGGTAGTCAGGATGAACATCAACAAATTTGGGAATTGGCATATATGCGATACATTGCCAAGCATGACATGTTGCTCTCATCCGCACGTCAGATTGAATGTTGCCAACAGTGACAAGAATAGGGCACATTTCAAGTCCTCCCATATGCTGGGTCACAAGTGTCTTATCAGATGCAACGATCATCAGAATGATGGTAGCACCTTCAGGAAGTTGATCCTGTACCAAAGCCATCAGTAGACTACTGTGAATGATACATCAAGCTTACCTGAATTTCAAATGCTTGTTGGGCCATAAAATATTCACTGTATTTGCACTCACCACCATCGACCACGACATGTGGGTCATATGTCACATGGTTTGCAAAAATTGGATTTGCAAAGAGATCTTGCACTACCTCTAAGCCATCACGCCAGATGAGGTTTATCGGTTGGATAGTTAGGTACCTGATCATTTTAAGGGTCATTGAATGCCATTTTGGTCCGGTTGGAAGAGAAGCTACCCATAAACTCAAGGTCAGTTACACTAGCCCATACTCCACAGCTCCAGACAAACCCATTTCAGCTTGAGAAATTACTCCATATCACTTTGCGTTAAGCATTCACAAAGGAATTTTGCAAGGTCAAACTCTGCCTGGTCTTGAAAGGGATAGAATGGGGCATGATGTCGGTGGTAAGCATACTAGTCATTTTCCATCACCTCAAGGGTGTTTTGTGCCTTTCCAAATATGTAGCCAGAAGATGAGTGGTACTGCCCAAAGACACGATCTTTTCCTGCTTCAGAAGTAGATCGAAGAAACATGGGGGACAGGAATATGGCAATCTTGCACTGGAGGCCAGCAACCATTTGTTGTCTGAAGGTGTTCTAACACTGCCTCAGCAGAAGGCAAATCAATTTGACACTGCAGGCATTTTGCAATAGATGATTTGATGTGGTTACTGAAGTATCAATTCTAGAATAGAATAGAAACTTACAAATTGCCATATATAATGAATGGCCCAGAATGATGATTGCTAGCATCCATAGTCACTGGAAGAATGCGGACTTTCACCTGCTTGAGCCAATGAGCCTAGGGTGCTACACTGCCAACACAGAGAAAAAGTTGCAAAGTCCTTCAAAGTCCACTTGGCATCCTATTGTTCATAGTGATATCCCTCAACTGTAGTAGTATGCTCCCTGTTCTTGAGCTTTGGCAAGTCTCTAGTCACTGATCTCTAGCTGCATATGGACACACCTAACACTCGTATAACCCCCCCTCCTTTGTCTGACTGTGAGACCATAATCTCAACTTGAGTCAATATAGCATCAGCATTCTCTAGTTCCAAGCTGGTGTTCCCTATGTCCCCTCTTACATCCTTCGGATCAGCCAAGTCCAACATAATTTCACTCCCTCAGAAGAAATTTCAACACATAGGCCATCCCTCCTCTGGCCACATCCTCAATTGTACAGGCCCTTTTATAAGGCAAGACCATCTTCAGTGTTTCCAGGAAAAGATCTGCTCTCAGTATAAGCTGTGCCTCATTTATAATTCTTTCCCATATGAGATTGTCTTTGCAAAGAGGCACATTATGCAGTCTTTACACAAATATTTCTCCCAGCAAGACTTGCATGAGGTAATTATCTCACTTTCCACTCCCATGATTTCACTCAAACAAAGATCTAGGATAAAGAGCTACTCCAAAAGAGCTTATCTCATCTATCCAATAGTACTTTCCACAAGGCTGCTCTAGTCAAACAGGTGTCAGCTCAGGACAAGACACACATGGTCATACACACGACCTGGAAACTTGAGTTGATTGAGAGGCAGAGGTTATTTATGCAGTCACTCCAGAAAGAGCAGGAAGAGGAGCTTAAGATTGCAGAGACTGAAATGGAGTTCTTCAGGCAGCTGGTCTGTGATTGAGGACTCCCTGCTTTGCAAGACAACCAACAATATTTGGAGGCAATTTTTGCAGAAGAATTGGACAATATCGATGTCACCAATGAGCAGTACAGACAGTTCACGACTCATGTGAGGAAGTGTGTTGTTCCATTTGCGAATAGCAGTGACATGGAACTTTCCCCTGACAAACTTGTGGCAGATCATGATTCCTCAGACTCCCACAGTGATGGGGGGTCAGATGACCTTGTTTATGGAGCAAATAAATAGGAAGGTACATTACTGCTAGTTCCCCATGCTTCTTCATTCTATTAACGACACATGTTCAGTCAATCTGACACCAAACAATTCAATCCCTATTGCCTCCTATTGCCCCAATTTCATTCTGTATCGCCTATATTGTGTCCTATCCAATTCTGATGCCTTCCAATCCGATTGTTGTGCGGCATTTTATATCTTTACCTCAGCCCATCACCACGACTTATCCACATTTTACGCTTATGTTGAATGCACTGTAGATTATGTATGATCTTTCTGATTTATACCAGGCTATACTGTGATATTAATACATTACCTAGCTTACAGTGGTAGCAAAAATGTAATACATTAATTGCTGTACTTACAGGCAGTAGTAGGCTGATGTATCACTGTTGTATCACTGGTGAATCCAAAAAAGATGCTTTCATCCAGCCTGTTCCTGGTTCTCTGGGTTCTTTTTGATTGTTCCTCCATTATTTCAGTTGTTCCTTGATTCTTTATATTTGTCAGCTGACAATATTTTTAGCAGTTGGATATTCCTTGCTTCTTTCTGTGTCAGCTGACTTTATTTAGCCAATATATTTTTATGCATGGTTTTATTTAGCACATTTACCCATGCAGAGGTATGTACAATTCCTCGGCAGTTTGCGGGTGGCTTGGAGAGCTCCCTTGCATTACAAATATTTTCAGCGGTTGGTTATTCCTTGTTCTTTCTGTGTCAGCCGGCTTTATGTACAGTTCTTCGGCAGTTTGTGGGTGGCTTGGAGAGTTCCCTTGCATTACAACATCGTACATAAAACACGGTGCAGTCGACACTCAATGAATCTTCCAAATTTTTACCTGCTCTAACTGTCCAGCTCTCAGATCAATATCTTCATTCGGACTCTCGGCTCTTTCTGTTTGGTGAGTAAATATATTGATTTTCGAGTGTTCTGACCAGGTATTATTTGCTTTTTAGTGTTACTTACTGGCAGGACTCTGACGGCCTGGACCCTGCCGTTTTGCATCTTCTAGTACTGCCACCCTCCAGTAATGTCGCCAAGCCACCCACAGCCTTCACTCCTTCTCTCACTCACCACCAACCTAGGCTATTGCACCATCCACCGCCCTCTCACACCTTCCAAATGCCTCTGCACCTCTGTCGCACAGTGAATTGCAGGCTCAATACCGTACCATTGCGTACATTTCAATTCTCAGTGAATATCTCAAACTAACTCGATGCCCACACAGCATTTTTACTTTGTCCAACCGGTGAGGTTTGCAGTCTGAGCTGAGACTGCAAACCTAAGCCGCTCTAAGCCAATCACGCTGATCAAGTCTGGTTTAGAGGAGGACCTTTCTGTACTCTTAGCTTTAGTGTCTGTCTGAGCCTACCAGCCATGTCGTATGAGACCTCTCTATATGTTTATTTTCCATATTTTTAATCCTCGGTTGCCATTTACACTCAGTGACACTTGTCTCATGCGCAGATCAGAATTTGCCTTGTTTATGTAAGTGCCCGGAGGGCTGTTCTATCAGAATTTCTTTTGATGTGAGTCAGAGACTGATGCTTGCGCCACCATGATACTGTTAAGCTCAAGACAATTAAATTTCAAGTACATTATTTATAGATGTGTTCAACTAATAATTAACCAATCACATTGGTGGCAGCAGCTTGAGTGGACTGGATCTTTGTCGTTTCCCTTGGCCGGAGGAGACAGCCTGTGGTGGATCTGTCTCTCCTGCACATGTGCATTGAGCCCGTTTCTGGTGCTTTGCTGGACGTTCATCTACAACGTTGCTGGGGTTTTGAGCATCAAGTCCCACCCCAGAAATAAGCTGCGAAGGCCTTGTTCCCAGTGTCACAGGAGTCGTGGGTGCAGCTACCGAGGATGTGGTGATGGGTATGGTAGTTGTGGGTGCAGCTGGAGAGGTGTGATAGCGGGTGTGATGGAAGACCTGACCACAGGTGAATGGGTGATGGTAGGCATGCCAACCAACATGGTGTGAGGTGTGATGACAGACATGGTTTGAGGCGTACCAACTGACGTGGTGCGAGGTGTGATGACTGATGTAGTACGAGGTGTGACAACCAATGTGGTTTGAGGTGTGCCAACTGATGTGGTACTAGGTGTACCAACCAACATGGTGCGAGCTGTGATGACCGACGTGGTGCTAAGCGACGACAATCTAATGAAATTGTCGAACTGATAATGAAAGCGGGGAGGAGAACAGACCAATCCTGTGGTGGTGTTCTGGGACTGCATGGATTTGAGGGCATCGTCAAAACTCTCGAGATTTGAGTCCAGATTAAGAAATGCAGTGGGGGAAGACATAGGGTCCAGAGTGAGTGGCGCTAGCGGTGATGGATAGAAGGGTACATAGCGCTCTGGCATGGGGATGATGGGCCTATTCAGCTCTTGGTCAATCTCATTCATTGTCTTGAGGAGCGGGGGCCAGGTGTTGGAAGAAATCCTCGTAGAAGTCCTCTTCAGGTGGCGCAGGAACTACCTCTCCTTGCGCTAAGTGCATGGAAGGGAAGATAGGTGCCAAGATAGGTGCCAAGTCTACCTCTTGGGATGTGGGGTGTGAACCATGTAATGTATCAGGTGCTACAGTCATAGGCATTGGAGGATCATCGTCTGTAAGCATATTGTCTGGAGCGGGGGCATCTGTTTTATTTGAAGTCCCAGCTTTAGCTATATATTATCAGTGAAATGTTTGAAAAAAAAATAGTTGGATACATATGGAAAACATGAGAAACAAACTCATAGTAGGGCAGCATAACATTATCATTAAACTTTGAAAATGCATGGTTAAATCGATTACCGAGTTTCGTTGACCCTACATGTAAGCTGCTGACATCAATTGCACCCCCATTTGATGGGTCAGGGCCACCAAGCAGGATGCTGAACGTCCATCCTGTGGCCTCATGAAGCTCTCCGAAGAAAGTTGAGAGAATTTCTGTAAGTCTCAGTATAATTCTGTCTTCAATCAGCAAAGGAACAGGCATGAAGATAACACTTACAGGTCATTGGTCACCTCAGATGATTTTCTCCCCTTCACTGCCTCGTGTGCTGCTTCCCTCATCTCTCTCGTAAGTTGAGAGATTTCCTCTTTCACCTCAACAGACTCATTCTCCCAGCATCGGTCAACATGCTTTTGGATCACCCAAAGGTTCGTCTTCTTGGGATCGGGGACATCAGGTTGTTCTTTGATGGCTTTTAGCTCATCTTTAACACTGGCCTGGACTTGAGTAGTATAATACTTTTTAGTGTAGACTTCGCTTTCCTTGAGAGGACATTTCCGACCAGCTGTGGGTCCCTTAACGATATTGCTGAGAAGTTTGTGGACAGCCGAATTGCCCGCTGCAGCTGCTTTGTGGCCAGGCTTTGAATTACCATGATCATTACGGAATTTGACTGTCAGGTGCTGGATGCAATGTAAGTCCCCAATACCATGCATGGAAAATAAGAAATAGACCTTCTGAAGTGCGGCTTTGAATTTTTCTTTCTCCTCTAATTGAGCCGCAGTGAGAACTTGATCCATAGGAATACCTGGAAACAAGGAAGCCCTCATGGGCCATCATTCCTCCCATTGTTCAAAGAAGGGTTGCCAAAAAGTGGTATAGTTCCCCCTCTTTTGGCATTCAAGGTACTCGTCCTCAAAAGTTGTGATGAAGGCCAAGTTCCTCCTGCATCAGCCATGTATGCGGCGCCATCTATTCATGTTACATTTAGCATGCCATCACATATGACTATAATTAATTAATTAATTAAATCCATCTCGTCATAACATACCTTTTTTTTAATTCTGTACACATTGTCACTGTTTGATGCCGAGGTGAATGCGTAATGCCAATACAGTTTTCCAAGTTTGGACTTTTCTGATTGTCACTGAGCGCCGTAATGCCATATTATACAGTTTTCCAAGTTTGGACTTTTCCAATTGTCACCAAGCACTCTGATTTCAAAAGGTGTTGAATGAAGTTCTATACTACCTAGTCATATTTTGGGCTACTAAGGAATAACATTGTGTTAGGTAAGTTGATGATGTAGTCTATGCTGTTCATGCACTTCAACTAAGGAGTCTACACCTAACATGGTATGACTAAACATGTCTTCTAAGTCTGCCAGAACCCTGCGCACATGAGACACAGAACTATGTGCCTGACTGAGGTCCTGCCCTGTCCCACATTCCATGTGCATAAAAGTGGGTTGAAAGTAAGTCAGTTGAGGCACTCAATATATGTGTAGGAGTTTTGAATGGCTTCACATAGGAGATTAATTTGGATTTTTATGCAAATTTATCCTACCATTCTCTTACCATCCTTCAAAATTGAACTCTACGATTATCATGCCTACAGGGTAGGTTTTATATCTTAAGTTTAATGTTCTTGATGGGCATGGCACTTGTATGCTGCTACAATCTCATTAATGTAATACTTGTTTGCAATATGTTTTGATCAGACGAAGCAGACCGACATTCAAGAAAAACCATTCATTTTGCGACAGCTATAAACATACATGAAATTCACTAAATAATCATGTGTTACAAGGCCTGCAAAGCATCACCGTGACCAATTGCACCCTTCACGATGTTTATGCCTTGCTTGATGGAATCTGTTACAGTCATCCGTAACACCTACAGGAGCCCCCGCTCTGCTAGACTCCCGACGCAGCGGCACGCCGCCAGCACTTAGAAAGACAGTGGTCTGGACCACTGTGACACTGCCCCTGGCCTAGACGGCCTTGTACCTGATCCATGAAGGCTGTATGCCTCATGGTCACCCTAGTTCAGTGCATGTATACCTCATGCCACTTCATGAAGATCTGGAGCGCCCCTTGGCGCCTCATGTATATGCGCAGTCGCACTTGGCGCTGCATGCTTGATCAGAGGTTAAGCCTCATGTATCTTATCTGTGCTCATGACCATCCTCATGTACTCTTATCTTTGATAGACATAGATCCACAGATATACTATAGATACAGACTGAGCTTGAACACTTACATGTAGAACATATAAGTAGATAGATTATTGTACTGAGATCTTTACTTTAATCTACTTGGTCCAACCCCAGAACTAGCCTTGTCTAATTCACTTGGTTATCCTTTGAAACCTGTTTGACTAAGCCTCCAACTTAGTCGTTTAGACCGCACTTCTAAGTCGCTCCCCGTGCTTAGCTGTATCTGCTAGCCCTGTATCTTGACGAGCGCTGTCTTACCAAGATAACCAGAGGAACCCTTGACGTTCCGTCAAGTCGCCGAACACCCTCAACTTTGGTGGGCTCACTCGAGCTGTCGTTGAGAAGACCTATCCAAGTTCCCCTACGCTGATCGACGGTCAGCATAACAGAATCCACCTTGTGGTAGATGGCTCGAGAGACACTGAGCACTTTGGGACTGGTTGCATCCCTACAATGAAGAATGAGCTACTAGACATGAGAAATTCGGAAAATCCAGCTCACCAGCCTGAAAAGATGCTGATGTAGCGACCTCAAGTCACATAATAGAGCAGCGGGGTGGCATCAACTGGGACATTGAAGTAGGTATCACAGTAATGAATCAACATGGAATCATTCGCAAGTGCAGCAGCCACATCTTTGTCATCAGAGGAGTTGTTTTCCTCATAATCGACATAGGCAGCATGTGCAATTGTGGGGGCAGAAGTAGGAGCGGTGCCAGCACTAGAGGCAGCAGCTGTGCCAGGAGAAGCAACTGGTGCAGCTTCCCTAGGACTGTCAATGGTTGTAGCAGGGGGGTCATCAGAGATAGCGGGAAGAGCAGCCAATGCTGTTTTGGTGCTGCCAGCGGCAGGGCCCAGGCCCATTCTGATGGTGATGTTATCTGTAACATTGCCGAAGCTACGTGAGTAATGAAAATATAAAAGAATCAACGGATTCACCATTGGATGCATCACCATCAGTGCCTGTGTCCGTGCCAATGTCTAAGGCCTGAGATAGTGCCTTCTGATCATCGAGGGAAAGACACTGGAGAAGATTGATGAGACCGTCCAGTCAGACAGATACCACAGTATCTGTCTGACTGGAGAAAGGCAAATTCTGAGTCATGGGAGTGAGTTCAGTGAGTACCTTGAGTAGATGGATGATGTATCACTCACCACGTTCCGAATTTATACTCCATAGGCCGGCAGGGTCGGAGGTCTAAGAAATGGAGGATGACTTCCTTGGATTTGGGAAATGGCAGATCACCAGGTATTAGTAATAATCCACACCAAACAGGTGGCACCAGCTAACTAATCTTGGCAAATCCATCACAGCTTCCAGTAACATCAGAATTGGGAATCATCAATCACTGATTGATCGCGCTCAAGCTCTCAAGTATGGCCTAGCAGGTAAGTGGATTCTCTAGTACTATCTACTAATCTTCTAAGCTTGCCTGACACCCCAGTACCAGAACCATTCCTGCGGTTCAATTCCCGTTTGATTCTTCTCACAATGCAGATTACGTTGTGTTGTCCACAGCATGTGGCCCTTGATATTCTGCATCAAGGTCAGTCATAGTGCATATTACGTGCACAGCTGACTTACTGCTCAAAGAATCAGCATCTCCACTGTCAATTTGGCATGCATGCTGTCAGTTAGCAAAATGTGAATATTCAACCCGGTGACACGCACCAAACTTCTTTTGTGCATAGTCATGGCTACCTTTTAGCTTTGACATTCTCTACTACACTTTACGAAATTACTAAGAATTTTCTATAACACATTATGATTTGATTTGAGTAATTTTCAGACATAACAGACCCATAATACTACATAATAATTCAATTAACACTTATCCAATCTAAAGATAAGTTCCAAACATACCACAACACATTATTCAGCATTCTCTCACAATCTTATGATTGTTTTTTTACAATTCTTCACATTTTTCTGTATGTTCTGAAATATATTTACGGTAGCATTCCAACATTTCAACAGTTCATGTGTGATCAATGGCTTAGTCAGATGAAATGGATTAGTAAGATGAGATGGATTAGTCAGGAAACTGAAGGAAGAAAGTTGATAGATGGGAATATTTGAGAAGTGAACAAAGTCATCATGAGACATTTCAACTATGACTCAGTATGAGTCATTATGAGTCATTTTCTGTCTGAGTCACTATGAGTCATCTTTAATATGACTCAGTATGAGTCAGGATGAGTCATATTTCCTTAAATAGATAGTTACACAGCCACATTAAGAGTAGTATATAAGGGGCCCAGTTTCCCCTCTGAATAATGACAATCTCCCTTTTGAAATAAGCTTCCTTTGAGAGGACAGACATCCCCCTTTTAGAGAGAGGGAGGAGGATTTGAGTATCTTCCTGAATTTCTCACCCTACATTTGTGTGAACATCTGAGTGAATATTAGTTTATTCCCTCCATTCTTTTGTCATCATTTCCCACAACATACTGATCTTCTGAGGCCTACCTTGAGCCAATCCTTGAATTACACTAGCTGGTACATGGTTATCAGTCATCTAGTTGTAGTTTTGTCACATTCTCTTTACAAACACAGGATACCTTTTCTGTTGGGAGAATTTACATATTTTTAACAATTAGGAGGACGACAAATAAGACTAGCACTTTATTCAACAATATTAAGAGCTTGGCTGCTTTAAGACTACATCAAGAGGGTGTACTCTGTTCTGATTCTGCGTCATACTCATCGTGAGTGCCTGAGCAGCAGAGAAGTTAGTTTCGAAGCCATGTATTTCGGTTGATTCGATTGTGTTAGAGGCTTAGTTTGATCTCCTCTAATTTTTGAGAATAGGGAGTGTTTACAAGATATGACTCTGATTCATTGTGTACTGTGTGATTCATATCTTCATCTTCATATTGCACACCTTTGCAATCTTATTCTAGTAGCATCGTAGTACTGCATCAAGCCAGTTATCAATTTGGCTACACCATTTACGATCCTCATCTTTAGTGTCCTAAGCACTGCATCAAGCCAGTTAAACAGACTATCAACCTTCAAGTACCTAAGCACTGCATCAAGCCAGTTAACGGTCACTGTCTCAACCCACCTAAAGTCATTGAAAGTTGTTTAGATTGACCCAGCTATTTACGCCTCCTCCCACAAACGACCACATTATCAACCGTTGGTATTTGGCTGAACCGTTGACCGTGGAGGATAGTGAGAACTGGTGATTTTATTGCCAATCACATCCTAGTAAGACACCGGGCCACAACTTCTGGTGAAGAGGCCACATGTGGTTGAAATTAATAATCATGGTCTGTACAAATGTGATTGTCTCATCTGAGGTAGGAGGCGTATTTTGTGCATGAAGACTCATACAAGTCTTACCTTGCAGATCGTGCTTCTGAAAAGCAAGAGGTAAGTAACATGTTTTTAATGATAATTCTCAACTTTGACTTTTTCTGCAGCGAAGCACATGCGTAAGTCACAATGCGGTCAACATGGCAGATACCAAGTCCTCCCATGGGCTTGCTGCAACAGAAGTTGGGATGATCAACTGCACAAGGCACGATATGAAGCTCCCAAACGGAGTTGGAGACCTGCAGAAGGGTGAACGGTATGTATTATATTGCATTTGGAATGTTTTAAGGCTGATGTTACTTAGGTACATTAACATGGACTATATCATGTGTTCCGCGCTCCTCATCCTCGCAAAGTCCATGATCAACATATCCTACAACATCGCCTGCCAGTGGCACAAAAGACTCTGGACTCGAATGGAAACAATGCCGGAACGGCTTTCCCCCCCCCCCCATGAATTTTCCCTTATACATTTTTTGTGCTGAAGTTCCACATCCAGGCCCACGTCGATAAGTGTCGCACGAACTTCTCTTTCAACTGGTCGAGGTACATGGGCTGAACAGATGGCGAAGCCCCTGAATGGGGCTGGTCCAATATAAACTGAGTGGCATCAAGTACCAAGGAAATGGGACTGGGAGCATGCTGGGACACTCTTGACGATCACTTTGGTGATTGGAACTGGAAAAAAATTACAGCATTAGGTGAGCAGTTTCTTTCTTTCAGTCTCAAATTCTTTCAGTATTCTGGACCTACATCCGACAATGTTCCCACGCCTCATCCGGACCTCCGGACCCCCTGTCCATGTCCTTTATCTGTCCAGATGCCTGTACACCCAAATCCCTGTACCTTTGCATATCCACACATCCGGATCCGAAACCCGGACACTCAATCTGATATCCACTTGCCAGGATCTCCGGATCCGACCTATGCTTCATATCCGAACCCAAACCTTAAATCAGCGCTCATCCCCTTATGGTAATCACCTGTTTCCGGACATCCGGTTATCCCTATAACCGACTGTGCTTTATTTTCCATACCTGATTCATTTCCGTCTTCATTTTATTATGTTCTGATACACTAGTGTTAGGTGTTCCACATGCTCCGTCCATAGCCTCACATAGCCTTGCACTGTGCTGACTGATTCTCTGTTATGTCCTCCATAGTATATAAACCCTGTAGAAACTCCTGTATTTCCTTAGTCTGAATATTACACATATTAGTCCTTGCACTAGATCTCACACTAAGTCCTCATACTAGTTCTAGTCCTCTGACTTAGTCAATATCCATCTCAGGCCTAGGGAGAGATTCCCTAGGCCGGAGCTCCACTCCTCCGCTCCTCTGCTCCTCTGCTCCTCCGCTCCTACACTCCTCCAAGTTTCCGGAAGTTCCTCCGGAACTTTCCCATGGTCCTCCGGACCTATTCTGCTTCGGACTTTGTCCCTGCAGCCTTTTCTCTGTCTCCATTCTACTCAGGATTCATCCTGAGTAGCCATTACACATATCTGTACCAGGACATAGTAATTTCCGGAAGTTCCTCCAGAACTTTCCCGCACCCCTCCGGAACTTTCTCGCACTCATCCGGATCCGGACAGTCCTTCCATACTTTCCCGCGCTCTATCGGAAGTCCTATGGACTTCCTTGGACTTCCTCCGGATGTCATCTGCAATTAAGGGCACATACTTGGGTAAGGGGCGCAGCGCACGAGCTGAAGCCAAGCCCTTCGGAATCAGTCCTACCCTTTGTGCACAGTCTTAACACAGCCATACAACTACAACTCACTGAGCTTGAAGCTCAAGACCTTCAAGCTGGAATCAATGTCTCGCTTCACATCGATGTCTCTCCAAGCGAATTAATTACATCAGGCATGGATCTCGAGGATCAACAGTAAGTTTTGTATTCATTGTTACACTATGCCATACTGACAGTTCTACAGGGCATGATTAAGATCCAGTCTTGCCAATGTGTCCCTCCACGACACCGATAATCAGAAGGCTACAACACAAACTCAAATCGCCTCCCTCCAATGACGGCTTGATGCCTGGGCCCGCATCCAGGAGCTATACATGCCAGTTGTCTGTCAACTCCAGCATTGATCATCAGAGGCTAGCAGGAGGCCGCAGGAACTCAAACCTGAAGACTTCAACCTGTGGCTCCCTTCACAACTTCCAGATGGCACCCCCATAGACCAGACGCTCGCTGGCCACGAGTGGGAGCTACACTATGCACAGGCCCTCGATGCCCTGAACGAAGTTCATTCCCACCTCCGGCTTCGATCCCACATGTACAAGTACAAGGATAAAAATGTCCGTGGTCAAGCGGGTTCCACTCACACCAAGAAAATCATTGATGCCATGGAATCGAGGAAGCACGCCAGTGTATTGAAGTACAGACGTGCGCGCAGCGCCCTGCTGTCTCTTGGCCACCGTCTCGAGAAGTGCAGTTGGGAGCTCACCATGCGCCCGCTTCTTGACTCTGATGTTAAGCCTATGGGTGACATGGAGCAGCAATGGAGAGGAACCATCTCCTGGATTTGGTTAGACTCCCGTGCTAATAACAGCTGTACAGAAAATGAATGCATACAGGATTGTAAGTGTATGTTATGTTTTACTCACATTTATCTGACATTTTGATAGGTATCCGCTTGGAGTGGTGCAAGGCTTGTGCCCGCGCACACCGGTGGTCGGAGGAGGTGGAATTATTGCTAGAAGAGATGAGATGAGTGCTGGCATTTTTGAGATGGCAAGGGTCCTGGTGGAAGGAGTGCATAACTCTCTGAACACTCAACTCAGCACCTGCACAAGAGGGGCTGTCAGTGTACGCATGTCGCCAGTCTGCACTGCATGTGCTGCTGATAGCCAAGTTTCAAAGGCTGTGGAGTGATGTGCCTACCCTTGTCTCTGGTGGTGTCCTGATTCTGGAGAGTGGAGAGATAGATGCTCCTACTATTGACACTCCCCCACAGTTATAAATATAAATATATCATTCACATGATTGTTCTTAATATTAACACGGGAAAAGAAGCAACACTGGAGAATGGTAAGGGCGGAGATCACAGATTGCAGAATGCCAAAAACGAGACCATCTATGATGGATCTCAAGTCACATACCATAGATCTTAGATGAATCAGCTAATAGTGCTTGGTGCAGGGAACTAGAGGGAGCTGCAGGTATAATAAATTCATATATCACTGGGAGCTATGGCAGTGAGCATCTATTGTATCACATTTACGCTACACTACCAGTGAGTAATATATCAATACCATGGCTACTGGTGTTTATACTCAATGTGTATGGTTCTTTATGTTTGAATATATGCTACATTGGGTAAGTAAATAGCTGGAAATCAGTAAGATACCATGGCCCCTCGATGAACAGCCTCTCAACCCTGAAGGACATCCACCAAACAAAAGGTGAGTCCCCTCCATTGAACACTCAAACATTTCTGACACAATTTGGGCACCGCCACAACCAAAAAAGAACTCATCACTCAATGCCTCAGGGCACAACATCACAAGCCAACTTGGTTTGCCTCAAGATCGCCCACAAACACCCAAATCTGTACATCACCCCCCCAGCATGGATCCAAATCAACTCCCTCCCTTCCAACCAGATCCTCAGTTTCAGCCCCAACCCCATTTCCTGCCCTCATTCACTACCAGCTGCAGGACCACTACCATCCACAGGACCACAATCAGCCACAGGACAACTACCATCCACAGGACAACTTCTGGCAGGAGGGGTTTGAGCAGGGAGGGTTTGAGCAGGGAGGGTCTAAGCAGCAGGGATTCCAGCTGCTGCCTCAAGACCAACCACACAAAGGCAACGATGCTCAACCCATGCATCAAGAACTCGACCTCCATGGCCACGGCATGCAATGACATATGTGCTGGGACCTCAAGGATGCTGGTGTCCCGCGCATGCAGCCACATCCTCAGGTCATCGGCATCACAATTCCTCACAAGAGGAAATCTGAACGTGGGGAGTTTACTCAAGGGATCATCCATGTAAGTTGTTTCTTTCCTTTTCTAATATATAATAATATATAACATTACTATAGGAACTACGTACATCGCAAACTGTTGGCTGGCTTGGAATGTGTCTGGTCAACCAGCACCTACCTCCAATGCCAGCATTGGTGCCTGCACCAGCACCTGCACCTGTACCTCAACCAGCACTACCCCCACCACCTGAAACCACTGCACAAGTGCCAAATGTGTCTAACAATGAGGTTCCCAATTCAGTTTTGACTGTAGAACTTGATAAACCCACCATTGATTCCATCAAACTCTCTGCAAAAAAATAATTATGTTGCATGATGATGCAAGGGACGGACACTGTGTCGCCAACATGAAAACAAACGAGTGGCTGTCTTAGACAAAGCCCTCAAGAAGGCACACATTTCTATCATTGGTCAAGGTAATTTTTTGTTGAATTCATTCACGACATCACTAACACTTTGTTTTAAAGTTCAATATAAACCATTCAAAAAAAAGTCCGTTCATGAAGAGCTCATGACATGTATGTTGAATGTACAGCAGGTATTTAGAGACTACGCCACCACATCATTTAAATGGCACTCAATCTACAACTACCCATATCCTCAGAACCTGGAGAGGAGGTCGCTCATAAGGCAGCACTAGTCTAGGAGCTATTGAAGAATCTGAACTTCTTGCACAAGTTAGAGCTGGTATGTCTTTTTCTAATGTTTGTGTGCTAATTTTTGATTCACACACTGACTGGGGTGAGGACGGCATTGAACAGTACCTGCTGCTGGAGGCTGATCATTTTGTCGAGATGATTGTCGACGTCATCTGGCAGAAAGGACTCTATGAGTATATTGATCCACTCTGACTCGACAGTGTGATTGCCCTTGCTGGGGCTGCATTGCAGAATGCGCTGAAAGCTTACCAGATGGGCAGGTTCAAGTCCGTTGATGCTTTGGCAGAACAATTCTATGATACATACAAGGTGATCCTGGTGCTGATTGACAGCATTCAAGCAGATCCTGCTCTGAAAGTAAGGTATGAACTAGTGTTGCCGCAGCTCCGGCTTACTGCCGGTTTTAGCTGTGACCAGAGCCATGAATAGCTGAGTGGAGCACATGATTGTAGCTTACATAATTTATGGCTTGGTCCAGCTAAAATCGCTATGGTTAAGTTGAGTTAATGGCTTGAAGCCAGCTCAAATGAATGAAATTAAATCTATTTTACAACCATAAGTCAAAAAATAGACTCATTGAGACATGAGACTTGAGACTGGAGTACTCGAGAGCCAAAAAGGGAAGAAGCTGTAGTGTAGCCTCTAATTGATCACACAAAGCCGCGACATACTCTACTCCTAAAATCAATGTGTAGCAGACACCAATGGGTCCCCGAAATGACATGAATAATCCTGTTAACATTGGATCAAAAGCTAAAACAAATGTTAGAAGTACTGCAGCCTCGATCATACATAGAAATTACAAGATTGGGCAATGTCATGGGGGCCTTCACAAACTGTGTATCAAGGTGAAAACTAGCTGAAAGAGCCACTGAAAGGCAAAGAGAACAGGAAATAGTCATTGAAATGCAAAGAGAACCAGAGGGGGTCATTCAGGAGCAAAGAGAAGCAGAAGGAGTCATTCAAAGGGCTCGGAGATTGAGGTGGCGATGCTGGCTGCTGAAAATGTTGGGTCACGAGATACACTAGGGAGAGTTCATTGACATTGAAGTAGTGGGAGGTGATGAAGTCAGCTGCAAATGTGTAAATTCAAGGATAGTGATAAATGAATAGTGGAGAGACATACTTGTTCCAGCAGGGACTCTTCTAATGAGTAACACTGGTATCTCACAAGCATAATGAGAGTGAGCAGCTGAATGACTCAACAAAGTACTTACCAAAGAATATCTATTCCTGCCAGGTGCGCAGGATGAGGGTGGGTGAGAGGGTAGGTGAGAGGGCGAGCGAGAGGGCAAGTGAGACGTTGGGTGAAAGGACGAGTGAGAGGGGTGAAAGGTTGGATGAGAGGGTGTTGGGTGAGAGGTTGGGTGAGAGGTTGGGTGAGAGGTTGGATGAGAGGGCGTTAGGTGAGAGGTTGGGTGAGAGGTTGGGTGAGAGGGCAAGTGAGAGGGCAAGCAAATGCAAGTGAGTGAGAGGGTGGGTGAGAGGTTGGGTGAGAGGATGGGCCAACCACGAACCAGTTCATCAAATCTATGACCTAATTTCATTGTCTGCGATGCAGCCAACCACAACCCAATTTATCAGATCTACCACCCAATTTCATTGTCTGCCTGCCTGCTCACCTCTGATCTCCTGAGACGTCCAACCACAACCCAATTTATCAGATCTACCACCTAATTTCATTGTCTAGTGAGAGGGTGGGTGAGAGGTTGGGCAAGAGAGTTATGTGTGTTAGGAGGGATGTAGGAGTTGATGTATGGTGCAGGAATGTTCCACCGCGCAAATATCTGTCCAGGCTCCAGAGTCAATATGAACTCAAGAATGGTAAGTGCACACAAAGTGGAGCGACTGGAAGAGGCTTAATATGAAGGGCAGAATGAGAATGAATCAAATATAAGATGTCCCTGAGAGGGAAGAGGTAATGATTGAAAATTGTCTACAATAAATATAACTGTTGAATCAAGTAAGAATTGAGAGTCAATGAAAATCAAGTGCGAAGAGTAAATGAACATCACAGGGAATAGACAGTAGCAGTGTCATCAATGTCATCACACTCATATTCTGCAATAGCTCTGAGAAAAGCATCATGAGCATGACTGTCAGCAATGCTGCCAGTATCAGGTAGCGGGCATTCATCGTCATCGTCAGAATCGTCCAATAACATTTGGAATTCCATCTCCCTTTGGGATGCTGCCCAACCTTGAGTAAAGTTAAGTTGCTCCTTTTTCAGGAGAAACTTGACGATCTGCAGCGCCTCCATCAGCACTGGGGAAATACAATTCCGTTTCTTAGTGTCAGTTTTTCTACTTGAAGAGAAGACCTGTTTGCATGGAACAGTGGAGGCCTGTGTTACAGTAACCCCATCATTTTCCCATCATCACCTGCAGGACTACTCATGTACTATACTTCTTGATCCCCGTCTCGCTTCTAGCCTTCCTCATGTCGACCATGAGGACTTCCTGATCTCTGACTTCCTTTTCCTGTACTTCTACAACACCTCATGGACTTGTCTGTGCACACTTCTCTTACATACATAAACCCTAGCTACTTCTTGTATTTCTCCTTAACTTGAATCTACTCAGTTCTACCTGATACCTGACTAGGACCTGAGGGTGCCTACTGATCTAGCTCTTTGCGAGGAGACTACCCATTACTCGATCACTTCACCAGAGTTCTACCTCTGGTCGTCATTACCTGACACCATACTCCTGATCTCCTTTATTGGAGCTGTTATGGAAGACTCTATCTGAGTTCGTAACAGCCTGTATAGGTAGGTAGACCATTGCAATAGCAAATATAGTTGGAAAAACTGTCTCAGAAACCTGGCAAACCTGGTGGTCAATGACGAGAGATATAACTTGAGGAGACGCATGACTCTCACCTGCCAAAATCCGAGTATATTTGTCCTCTTGCTGCTGAGAGTAGCCATGGTGTATGCCCTGAATTCTTGATCGACTGTTTGGGCACCCTCGTGAACACTTGGTAGCGTGTTCGCATCAGGAAGTCCATAGTGTCATGAGCCTAGCGAGCGTAGCTGCTGCCATGGAGGCTGGACAGATTCAGTAAGTTTCAACCGTGCACTCTTGGCATGCATCTGGGAAATATCAAATGATTAGTTCAAATGTTGAACAGGTGAATTAGATGCACCAAATCAAGTATGAACATCTTGACAGCATTACTTCGAGCTTCACCCCAATGATTTTGAACCCATGACATCCAGATTGCCAGATTAATAACTATAAAATCATGAGATATCAAGCAATATTAGAAATTCACTGGACTGACACATTGACATGGCATATGCATTTGTAGCGCCCATTCGTTCATCATACTTCCCAGGTCAAGCCTATCTTGATGAGAGGTGCACAGTGTGGGATAAATGTTGCAATTGCCTTCCACCACTCGATTGACTCTTCGAAAGCTGGAACCGCAAGACTCAGCACAGGAGTCTTTTTCCTTGACATAATTTGCTGAGCAGCGTGTGGCACCTAATATAAAATGGTAAAATGCATCATGAGTCTCAAACCCAATACTGACCTCCAAAATTACCTCGAGATTCTCCAGGAAATGCCATTGCATTGGACTTAGCTTTTTCACCTGCAGGGATTGTTGGAGGAACCTATCAAGAGGCTGGACGACTATCAGTCTGCGATAAGATGTTTAGTTGGAGGAGCTTTACCTTGTGGAGGGTCCATAATTTAGGCTGAATCCCATCACATGACTTCATCCAGCAGAAGTTCGACAACTGGAAGCTGCTTGGAATTGCCGTCTTTGTCCTTATACCAATTTCTTTCGTTCCCCCTAACAATCATATTCCTAAAACCCTTGCATCATTTGTTTGACCTGCGGATGGTGCGCACAACATCTCTGGCCTGGTCAAGAGCTTTGGCTTTTAAGATTGCGACGTACTCTGCCTTCTGGATGGTTGTGCCATCTACTAGCCAACTGTCACCCACATGTGTAAATTCAGCTGTTGGGTAGTTGTGAAGGATCTGTGGGAAACAGGGGATTCAGTGAGCAACTGGATGAAAATTTACATCACATGCACCCAGTAAGGATGAGAGCTCTTCCATGCAAGTGTTGTTATTGCTGGCATTGTCTAAAGTCAAGTGCCCTGTCTAAATGAAGTCAGAGCAGCCAAATAGCAAAAATAAACACTTACATTCTCTGCCACTTCAGCACGATCAAGAATCATCATCATCTCACCTGCTAGTGATGCTCTGCTATGACTGCCAGGGACATGGTGGAAAGCAATTAGTGCTGCCTTCAGGACAAGCACTGATGAATGTTTCTCTCTGGCAATCCAGTGTGCAGTAACCGCCATAGATGGACGGAGCTTAGAATTCGACCAGAGATCAGATGTATATGAGACCTTGCCTTGCACTCTCTAAAAGATATAAGATACTTCATGGGACTCTCGACAACTGTGCACTTACTGCAAGATCGTGCTTCAAAACTCCAAAATATTCATTGAATGCTTGCAGGGTTAGTTTGCAAATTTTGGTACAATGGAAAATATCTGTGTCTTGAAGGTCTGGCCATAGAAGGCAGATGAAATCGCCAAAATTCAGGGCATTCAATGACATTAATAGCCTGAAGATAACTGAGAATAAAAGCATGTAGAAAGCGAAAGACTCACCTGATCATCAGGAATTATGAACTTTACAATCTGGCAATGTATCTCGTCCAGTGAGAAATCAAGTAATACATCGCCCAGAGATCCTGAAGTTCCAGGGAGTGAGTTGCTAAGTCCATGATTGGGGGGGGGACTGAGTGAATAGATCATTTTAGCGGGATCTTTCAGTGCCTGAAGTATACTTGCTAACATCCAGTCATCTCCGATAAGTTCTTTCAAAGTCAGGATGTATATGGGCCAGCTGTTGCATTCTAACACTTCAATGTAATGCTGGGTGTGAGCTTGAAAATGTGTTTATGACGGGTTGTGGTCCTGTACGTAGTGATAGCATATTCCAGGTCTCCTTCATGAAGCTCTCTGGTGAAATCTGTAAGAAAGAAAAGAAACCAAGGGCTAGTAGACATGATACTTACTCGCAGAGTTTACAGACTCGGCACTTATTGATTGTGTCATCACTGAAAAAGTGGAGTGAATTGTAAGTAGCTTTAGACCGCTTTCCTCGACCACCCGTAGCATATGGGTTAGTCTGGGTAGTATCTGTGGCTGTTTGGAGTGGGTTAGGTGCTGCTCCATCTTCATCTTCGTCACCAGAGATGTTAAGATCGAAATATTGCCCCTCATCTGCTGTATGACTTGGACCAGCGTGAGTTGGAATGTTGACCTGGGATTCAGCAGGGAGTCGACGAGCAATATGAATGGTGGTAGTGTTTTCTGACGCTAACATAACAGTGTTGCGACTAGGATAGTTCTGAATAACACGAGCATGAATGTGCTGCCACATCCTAAGGGGATCCTACAGGTTGACAAATGTTGACAGGTCTCTCTGTCTATCTCGGTAAGGTTCAAGGGCCTCATCGAGATGAAGGGCTAGCAAGAATATGGCTAAGGCGTGGGGAGTGACTTAGAAGTGCAATCAAGGTTTCAAAGGAGCGAGTTGTTTAGACAAGCTGGTTCAAGGGAAAACCTAGTAGATCAAAGTGAAGAATACAACAGTGATCTGTCTACTCTATATAGTCGTCTAAGGGTGCACAGACCAAGGCTACAAGTGGTAGGCAGGATGGGGGTCTGTCTGTAAGTGGTCATCTAATCTATCTGAGTCAGAGATAAGAGTACATGAGGTGCGCAGCCTCCATGAGTCATAAGTACATAAGGCGCCTAGAGGCACTCCAGGTATACATGAGGCAGCATGAGGCAACATGCGCTGGTCTAGGTGTCCATCCGCTGTCATTCTAGGTTCTAGCAGTGTTCCGCTGTGTCGGTGAGTCTAGCAGAGTGGGGACTTATGCAGATGTTAAAGTCGACTGTAACAAACAGTGGGAATGGGCATAATAGTGGGGGTGGCAGGCGTGATAGTGGGGATAGCAGTGGTCATAGTGATAGTAGGGGCAGCAACATTTGGGACAGGATCAGTAGTAGGAAGGGGTCTAGCAGCTGTGGGCGCCACAATAACTTTGGGCTTGTTCTGCCCACATCAGCGAGGAGGCATGTTGGGAATGGTGGAGATCCAACCACATAATTTGTGGTATATATAAGCGGTGAATTGAAGAGTGCAAGCCCGCAAGGTGATGGTGTAAAGGAAGGAAAGAGTGCATTGGCGAAATTTCCCCCATGCAGCTAGTTGGGTGCATGTCATATGACGAATTGCAACACCACAGGGCAAGGTTGTCTATCTGTGATCCATGAATGAGGAAGAGGTGGCTAAGGTCATGGTTGAACGTCTTTAGAAAGTTCCCAACAGTGAGATGATCACCACTCACTGCATTGGGTTGTACAAAATCGTGATCTTGGTGAGGTGGTGGTGCACACCACACAAAAGGGGTGAGTGGCACTATTCATTAGCAGCATGAGCACAGCTTGCAAATCAACACTAAGTAGGGGTTGAAAACTCACTCAATAGAAGTACATACCTAACCCCAGAGGCTTCTGAACCAAAATCAGATGGATGTTGATTAACAAGCAACACTCATCCTCAGTTAAATATATGAATTAAATACAGACCACAATGCAACACTTTCCAACAGTAAGACAGAAGCGACGAAATGACCCAAACATGGCACAGATGGCCCAAATATCTATCAAGAAATACTGCTAGTTTATTCATAACACTGCGCATTGTGCAATGAATCGGGTGAAAGAAGTACCTTCGGCTGATCAATTGAATACTGACTATATATCACAATGCGATGAGGTTACTGAGTGAAAAGGAAGCGGAATGTTGTCTAAATAGCACCATGGAAGTGTCTACCTTAGGGTCCATCAGTAGTAAACACAGGTGTGATTATTATGATTAAGTACCTTGCAGGCTTGCACAATGCACATTATGCTGAACTTCCGGCTGTATTGATGGAGTTTGATGAAGTGTAATTCAGCAGTGAATTGTGATGAGTCTTTCAGGAAGCTTGAAGCTTGAAGGCCTGCATGCTGTGCGCACTGCACAGCATGTTGAAGGAGCGAGAGGCGTGGAAATATGGAAATTCAGGATGACTATTGATTGGCTATGTATGTACAGCCCCTCATAACACATACATACATGTAACAGTATACTAACGGTACAGTATACACATTTATGTCAAGATAAAAACCACAGTACAAATTTGAACAATGTCATGATTCACGATCTAGCAACCAATCCCTTTGTCCGGTGTGGTATGGTAGTAATTGCAGGCGGCAGGGAATCATTATGTGCACATAAGCTTGCAGACAACCTTAGCTTCATTTCACAAGTAGAAAGATGAACAGATACTCACATACGAGTTGATCTGCAGGATTTTCCCATCAGCAGGCATGGGGTTGCCATCTCAGCCACCAAGTTTTCATTGGAGATTGGAGGGAGACACATGCCAGAATCATTGGACTCGCTGAAATCCAGCGAGCACATTGTTGGTAAGGAAAGTCTGTCACAAATACCGTGAAGCAATGAATGAAGATGGTTGTAGTCAGGATCCTCTGAAAAGGCAAGAGAGCGTGTATAGATAAGCATAGTTGCAAACTTGACAGGAATTCCGCAACATAGAACTTTGATGGTGGTATTTGCTTTGCGCTCAAGCATGGAAGAGCTGGATACTCAGTTAACCATGGTAGAAAGCCATGCAAGAAATAGATCAGCACATATGTGAGTGACTCTAGATCATCACGATGACCTGGCTCAACTCCTAAGTGGTTATTGATGGATGTGAATGCAGGAGTGCCAGCAAGACATCAATTGTGATGAAATGGCACATGCAGTCTGGTCGAAACATTGCAGTATTCCTTTGCAAGACCAAAATCAATGATAAAGGCAGTGTGTCTCAAATCATTGAGACCCACCATGACATTCTGTAGTTTTATGTCACCATAGACATAATTGTGTGAGTGGATGTACTCATCAAGATGTGAGAGCTGTGAAGGGTTAACATATCTGCAGCAACCCTGCTACAAACTGACTGACCAACTGGTCCGCTAAGTTCATGACAGTGTGAATGGTGAATTTTTGATTATGTGTAAGGAAGAGATCGTGCAGCAATGGCCTGAGGAGGTCGAGGACTAAAGTGTGATACATCACCTCTCTACCAAACCAAATGGCCTGGGGAATTCCAACTCCACCTTCGAGTTGTCTCAAAGTATGATATTCACGCTGTATGGAAGATGACCCATCAATGATGGGTTCAACTTGTTCAAGTTTCACAGCAACTGTACCACCTCAAACGTCAATTTGGAAACCCTGAAACAGTTGCTGACCGCAATCTCACAGGTAGCCACATGGAAGATCAAGAACTCATTATGAATGCTGACACCGACAAGTCCAAATCGGACAATGACATGGAGGATCTACCTGAGAACAATCATGCTCCATCATCTTCATTTTCGGCTCTTGCGCTGCAGCTGCAACAAGATGTGGACAACGACGACAATGAGAAATACACATCGGGGTTAGGACAAATTGTTGAGGTGGAGGATGTCATTTCAGGCCCTTCAGAAAGCAGCAGGGGGTGCCAAATTCATTGCTTCTTCGGTCAGAAGAGGATGTTTTGCATTCGCGACATGTTCAACTGGTCTGTTGAGGTTGGATGGGACGAGTTTTGGTTCCAGGGTGTGAAAAACATAGAGAGTGAGGCTTTATTCTACGAGCTAATGTCACAGCTCCATCATTGTCGACGATGCAGACTAGAGTAATTAACTGTTATTTAACCCCGTTAACCTCAGTTATCTTGCGGTTAATTCAAATCAGGACATACCAGTTATAACCTATTCAGTTATAACCCAGGTTAATAACAACACTGGCTGAGTGACAGTCTGACCTAGGACGAACAGAAAGTGATGTAGACTAGAACGAGTCAGTCTCAGCGTGAGTCAGAACAAACACTATATTGCAATGTACCTAGAACGAGTCAGTCTAGAGTACATTAGTCTATGAGTTAGGTCTACAAGAATATCAAGACATACCTCAGCGTGGGTCGGAACAAACGCTGAGGTGTACAAACAGCGAAGTGCATGCATTATGAGTAAACGAGTTATGTAACAGGGGGCTGAGTGTCGATGGTGAATCACTATACAGTACCAAGAAGTACCAAGAAGTAGAGACTAAGTAAGAAGTCCAATACACCCCCTCACCGAGACACCAGCTGCAAGCCGGTGAGGTGCTTCAAAAAGAGGGGACGTGCCAAAGCTTTCGTCAAGATGTCTGCCATGTTACGATGTGAGGGGAGCCATTTGAGCAAGAAGGTGCCTTTCGCTATATGCTCCCGGATGAAAAGGTACCGTACGTCTATGTGCTTTGAACGGATGTGGTTGCATGCCTCTGTGGACAGTGTGATCGCCCCTGTGTTGTCCATCTCGATGATGACTGGAAGGGGAAGGTGAAGATGGAGTGCGGTGAACAGGGAGGTGAGCCATAGGCCCTCTTGGATGGCATGAGTCATAGCCATATACTCGGCTTCCATTGAGGAGAGTGCGTGTGTCAACTGTTTCATCGAGACGTGAGTGATCAGCCCACTGTAGGACTTGGAGTCCTTGTGGCCTCGTAGAGGTCTATTTTCCAATGCATGTTGAATGCTAATCATTACTCAAATCATTTCCTATCATATCCAACTCAATACGCACCAAACCCGAAAACATCGGACATTGGGTTTCGCATCGGCCAATTGGATATCGCGCGCACTTGTTCTACCTATGTCCAGTCTCATTGCGCTAGCCCCACTAGGCACATATTACAGTGACCTATCTCCGTATAATACGAGGGAACGGACGTGCATAATATCCCGTATGATACGGGCCAGCGGACCATGGGCCCATGATAAAAATATCCTCGACTGTGATGGATGGGCCGGGAGGCAAATTATTCCCGATGGAGGCGGGTGGGCCCATGCAGGGAATATATAGAGTAGATGAGTGGGCCGATGTACATGGATATTAGGTAGACGGGTGGGCCGAGGTAGTTGGATATTATGCAGATGAGTGTATTAAGGTAGATGTGTATGAGATGGATGGGTAGGTACTTGTTATCACATTCACGGGTGGGCCCAGACACATATTAAATTAGACGGGTGGGCCGAGGGTATTATAAAATATTGTATTAGACGGGTGGGCCCAGACACATATTAATTAGATGGGTGGGCCGAGGGTGTTGTATGGGATGTTGTATTAGACGGGTGGGCCGAGGGTGGTATAAAATATAGATGGGTGGGCCCATGTGTATCATAATTGTAGACATGATGGAGCTGAGGTAGTTATACATCAACCAAATCAGAGGAGGTAATAGATCAAAGTTACCAAGTTCCCGGAGCAGCAGGTGATCTCCTGACATGGCGGTGCGAAGCTTGTGTTGCCCTATGAGACGCCAAGTTCCGACCACCCAAATTTGGGTCAACCTGTACCGACTTCCGAGTTCCGGGACCCGGGAGTCGACAAATGAATATCTGATGACCAGCACACTTCCAATCAGGTAGTATTTCATTGAGCAATGGATAATAATACATCTTTGACAGCCAAAATTATCCCAGGCTCCCTTATCTGATCCTCTCTATCTCCACCCCCTTTAACACCAAAGTCCGGACATCCAGCATTCAGCGTCTGATTTCCCTAGATTAACATCCAGCATGAACGGTTCTTCCCCTTCCACTCCTGATAGCATAAACATCTGGCGCACTTGGGCCCTGACTGTGACTTATGAAGCAGGGGAATATACTGAACAGAAATTCAAGGCAGAGAAGACTGGAGGAGGCCCAGTCATACCTTCCCCCAACCTAGACACTGATCTGGTGATGGCGTGCGATCGCTTGGCTGATGTACTCATAAAGGCATATAAAAATCCCAGTGGGTCTTCTTGCAGATTCGGAAAATTCGTTTTATCATTCAAATTCCTGCATGACAGTTCAGATGCAGATGGATATTGCAAGATATAGCAAATTGATCTCCCCGAAGGACACCGGGCATAATGAACAAAGAGAGGCGAGGTTGCTTGAGAGGTGTCCTCCTGGCCATGAAGGCAAAAGGTTGGTCGATGAACCTGCCACAATTCTCGATGCATCCGGTGCCATCATCGCATGGTACCTCCCAGACGCCCTGACCGACACCACCCAGGTGTGTAATATACATTGTTACTCAATGGATATTGAATATCAAATGGAACCTACAGAAGGAAATCAGGGAGGCCACCGATTTGCTCGCTCCAAGCCTCGAAAAAAGTGTAAGGGCTGATGGCAATTGGCGAACTAATCAAAAGTGGTTCAAATGGGGCTTGGACGATGTTGGCTCAACTCCCGGATGCATCAATTTATCTCCAGCATGGTTTCAACAGGGACACAAGGTAGGATCTGATGAGATGGTGATTCTGGCAGTCATACTCACCAATCCCAAAGACTGTGTCCGATCCGGAGGTATCTGCATCATTGAAGGGACCTTCCTGCGAGAATATCCTGAAAGCCATTGCAAGGCCAGCAGCCATCATGTCCGCGGCACTCAGGGTCATGCATCCTGAGCAGTACTGGGCAGGGTTGCGAACCTTGTCCAACCTCGGACATATAGCAGTAAGCAAGGATCTGCCACAGATGCCGGAGGCCCTGCAGTACTGGGCATCCGTGTTTAACACCCTCTCTATCATTTCCAATCGGGAAACCCCCAATCATCGAGACCATTTGTCTATTGCTGAATGCTTCGACATTCTCACCACCGTGGGGAACTATTCTGATGCTCGGATGACAATGCCAAGCCTTCAGCTGGAGTTCAAGTACAATTCCGGCTGTATGATTGCGTTTTCCGGAAGGATTGTGAGACATGGAGTTTATGATGTGGAAGGGGATCGGATTGCTTGGGCATGGTATATGAGGGATTCTGTTCACATTTACGCTGGTGTTCCATCATGTGGATGGGCTAGTGTGGATGGTCCATACAGCGTGTGAAAGATCAAACAAAGAGCAAGCATTGTGACCTATATACATTCCAACAAATGAATACCATGTACCAATAGTTATCCGGACCTCAATACTCAATTTTGAGCATTTGCGAAGTGATATATGGGACTGAATAATTTGGATGCCAGCCTCGGTATTCGATAATTGGAACTCGGGACTTGACATATGGGAGTCCCGAGTGCCGGGGTACTGAGTCCCGAAACCCGGAACTCCTCACTTGATATTTGAGACTGGGAGAAGATGTATAAATATGCTCGAATTAACATTTGTGATTGCCGTACACATTTGACAGAACCCTGAACCACGACATTGTGGACTCGGGACTCGACACTGTTCTGAATACCGAGTCCTGGAAGCCCGGGTCCCGAGTCCTGAATTTCGGAGTTTGGGGTTCGGCAACCCGGAGCTTGGCAACTGTGTTGGGTGTCAGGGTATCGGGAGCATTGGAGATCGCATGTGTCAGTATTTTGAGTTTCATGGTTCATGTTTGCTGATTATGGAATCGGGCGTCAGGGACTCGGTATTCAGAAGTGTCGAGTCCCAAGTCACGAGCTCCGAGTCCTGAGTCCCACACAGTGGGTTTCGGGACTCGGGACTTGGAGCTCGTGACTTGGGACTCGACACTTCTGAATACTGAGTCCCTGACGCCCGATTCCATAATCAGCAAACATGAACCATGAAACTCAAAATACTGACACATGCGATCTCCAATGCTCCCGATACCCTGACACCCAACACAGTTGCCAAGCTCCGGGTTGCCGAACCCCAAACTCCGAAATTCAGGACTCGGGACCCGGGCTTCCGGGTCTCGGATGCGAGATTTTTGAATGCATAGAATATTTTACATCTTGTATACAATGAAGACTGAATGGGACTACACTCCTTTGCCTTTCCTCAATTTCTCTAACATGTCAGTGTACATCTTCACCTCTGCCATCTTGGCTTTGATGCCATGATCTTGCTCCTCCATCAATGCTTCCATGCTGTTCTTTAATCCACCTCAGTCCCATAAGTGGTGGAGTCGAAGTGTTTTTCAACTTCTCTGGAAGAACCAAAGCATCATCCTCAACATTAAGCTAGAACAGATAAGTCATCAATCAAGGCAATTCAGCTAACATCTTACCGCCCAATACTGGTAGTGAGAGACGCAGGAAGCCATTATTTCATCCCACTGCCATGGTTGATCCGGGATTGTGGTGTTTCCCATCCACCATGGACATGTATATTTGAACACAATCCGGGACGGATGTCCTGCAATTGCCTCATCATCAAATGCAAGGAGGTGGAATGAAAAGACGTCGTCCGGAACCGTGTTCCAGGTTAGCATGGGATACAACTTAAGGATATAAGCGACAGGGACCGGAAGAACCGACACGATATTCTGTGAAGCGGAGTACTGCAGGAGTGGTGTGACAGAAGTCTGCTCAAATTCTTAGCATTGACCAACAAAGTCATCAGGGCAGTGGTAACATACATTCATCTCCCATTGCAGCCCGGCTTTAAAATACTTGATCTGGTCAGAAGATAGACCATTGTTGGCAGCTTCTGTCCGATATTGAGAGATGCATGCACGGACCCGCGATCCAGCCATTGCCAATGTGCAGGAAATAGTTGCAAGGCTCAGCTTCAGGGGTCGGTAATGGCTTCCGGCATTCAGAGTGCCAGAAGTGGATGCAGGAGTTGCAGGCATGGCTAATACAGGACTATGGCGCTGGCAATGCAAGTGAAAGATGGTGAAGATGTGAAGATAAGAATCACTGATGGATGGATATAAAATTCAAACTCCGACATGGGCTGACCCGGACAATTCCCAGGCCTCAATTATGTATGTGGCAAAAGGGACTTCATGAGAAAACAATGTTCATTCATCTCCAGCCTCTATCAACACGTTTTGTAGGTCTTGAAAAGCTGCCTGCGCATCCTGTGCGAGCAATGAATACATTTGGGATTGCCTTCCAGCGTAGCATCTGTGACCCGGAAGGTGTTTCTCCAATGATTCCTGCATGTGGTCGCCCCATTGGGTTGCTTTCCACAAAAAGAAGTTACATGTCCAATCCATCTCCAATTTGACCAATATCATTTCTTCCCTCCATTGATCTCGTAGTGCCTTTGCCCTGAGCCAATGGACTCAGGTAAACTTGGCATGGGTCCAGTCAGGTAACCGCGGGATATGACATGCAAGCAGGAACTCACATTCCTCATTCCACGATTGATCAGGACCCCCGAGGTCGACTTCAACAGACCAAAACCAAGCCAAAGATTCATTTCGTTGACCTCGGGCATTTGGGTCACCCACTGCAGTGCTAATTTTGAGTTGCTCGCGAAGCAGGGGTTTGTATTTCTGAAGCTGGTCTTGCCCCGGCTCAAGTTTCATCATTTGCTTCCTGGTCTTTGTATATATGCTGGCATGGAGGGAGACTGCCTGCTGCACCGACGTCACCTGGGACCAAGCTCAAGTTTTCAGGGCCTGGGATTTGGCCTGCCTAACGGTTGTTCGGAACAGGATGGCCTTGTTGCAAAGGTAAATGCGGAGATTGCGAAGGGCATCATTGGCCTACCCTTCACGAAGCGAACATCTCCAGGGGAATCAGATCCTCTGCCATGCATCGTCTGCATCTATCAACCCCCAGGTTTGATGGCAATGGGATTACAGTGAGCTCGGGAGAGTTTGTCCATGTATGAGATGTCTCTGTGAAATCCGCCGGGTCATCATCGAGATCATCTAGAATTTCTACGTTCAAGTCCTCAGGTTCATCATCTGCATCAAATCCCTCCCCAAGATGTGTTAGAGCAGACCGAGCAAATCCATCTATCTGGCCTTGGAGCCGATCGCGTTGACGGGTGATGTCTAATCTCTGTGTCTCGGTGGATCTTCTTCCGATCCTTCAGACCTCGATGAGCAATGCAATCTGAGCCTCTTCAATTGCTAACCCTGTTGATATCCACGTCGCCACAGATCTGTGAGAGGGTGCTGCATTGCGGGCATTACCCTCCTCTAATAATCTAAGCTTGATCTCCTTTTTGCTAGGTGCTGAGTGCAATATTAATTCAGACCTCGATGGAGACAATGGAACTCAACGTACCCTTTTTTATATTGATCTCATATTCATCCATCGCCAAAGGATCATTCAATCTGCTTGACTGAGCTATCCTCTCCCTGGCTAACCATTCTGTCTTCAAATGTGAGGGTGCTGCTTCATCGAGTCTGTCAAATGCCTTTCCACTTTCTGAGATGCCATTCCTCACCAGCTTGTATTTCCGGCATAGAGTCCTTTTCATGCGAATCATCTTGCAGAAATTGGAGTCATTCATCTGATAATCAAGGCATTCCTTTCAGTGGGGAGATGACATTCCCCGAGCAGCAGGGGAGATCAGATTGAGCCATGCCCATAGCGTCTCCATGATCTCTCCATCGATCCGACCAATGCCTTCAATAAAGTTAGAAGCATATCACACATAGCAGCTGTCCTGATGGCCATGAACGTGCCACAACCCAATTCTGGGAATGATGGTTAGTTGTGGTGCCATTTCTAGAAATCAACTTCGATCCTTAGCTTGATTTACTGCCTGGTGGTCCTACACCCAAAGGGACGGCAGTCCCACGTGCAATTCCAAAGCCTCGCCCGGCCAAGCCAGCCAAACAAGGTGCATTACTGACATCGCGAATGGGAGACCTCCTTGCTGGGTTAACTGAAGACGCAACCAGCAAGGTTAGAGATGATGTTGAAATGGAAGACAGTATCATACCGCCGGCACAGAAAAGGAGGCGGGGCAAGAGAGTCACAGTTGAACCATCCACGAGGACGACCCGGAGTAAGTTGCAAATGCCAGTAGACAGTACACCTAGAGTAACCAGAGCACGGGGACACACTTAATGTAGATATATCTTCCTGCCCTCATGTGTAATGTCATATGTGCTATTGTGTATATGTCAAAGTACTAACCACCTAATCTTAAATCCCAAATCCCAAATCTCGAGTACCAAGGCCCAAGTACCGAACCCCGAGTACCGAACCCCGAACCCCGAGCACCGAGCACCGAGTACCGAGTACCGAGTACCGAGCACAGACAACCGGGCAGCGAGGACTGAGTAGGTGGAGTATACAAGTACCAAGTACTAAGTACTGAGCAGGTAAAGTATACTGCACCGAACCCAGAGCACCGAGCACCGAGCACTGAACCCCGAACCCCGAGCACTGAGCACCGGGCACCGAGTACCGAGTACCAAGCACAGACAACCGGGCAGCGAGTACTGAGTAGGTAAAGTATACTGCAATGTGTCTACTATCAGACATTGATCGATATTTACATGTTACTTGGGTCCTCAAAGAACTCAATGAGGGTATCTAATACCTTCAGCATTTCGGAGGTTGACTCCCTTACCCTTTGCATCCTCCGGAGGTCCGCATCTGCTTTCCGCAGTTTGTCGCATGTTTCAGCCCATGCCATCCTGAATGGTCTGTCAGCCTCAAGAAGTTGTGCTACTGTAGGGGCAGGAAGATTTCCATGACGCTGTTGGTAATCACCCAGGCGATCTACAATTGTTTGAACTTGCAGAACATTAGCAGAGATAAATAATCAACTGTTGTATACATACTTTCAGCTTGATCATAAGATCCGATTGGCATGAACTCCTGAACCATGGCACGCAGTGCTTCATTGTTGAGTTCCGGCTCGGGCGATTGACGTTCGGGAGTTTCTGAATTAGCTTGGGAGATAACATGAATAAAAAACATGAAATGATATGAATATGCCTACAAGGTATGGGTGCCTCTGGTTCAGCCGGAGTAACCTGGATGAGGTTCAGGAGTCGATTCATTCACTGGGGAAATGCCATGGAAAATGAACATGAGATGAAAAGAATAACCTCACCAGCCATAGGAAAATCGGGTACAGCCGGAGCATCATCAGACGAAATCAAGGTATCCTCCGGACCAAGATACAAGTCCGGGTCATCATACAGGGCCAGTCCATCCGCCAGCGCCGGATATGATGGATCTGGAAGTATGTCATGAATTTGCACATGTAGAATATGTACATTTGAATTGAGAAACATACCGGGAATCGCATTCAACAGATCCAAACCACCGGACGACCCAGAATCAGAGTCTAACTCATCATCCGGCCCAAGGTATATATCATCTAATGGATCTAAACCATGTCAGATCAATTCACTGAAATCAGCAAAAAAAAACATACCAAGGGACATCCGGGACTTGGAGGACTCATCCACATCCATTGAGGTGAATTCAGTGACCGGAGGGTCATGAAATCTGACCCCAGGTTGAGAGCTCATGATATCTGATGAGCTGATGAACTTATGAACTGATTGATAACAGATAACGTCGAAGTTCAACACATGGCCGGCGATTGCCGAAAGTTGAACCATGACCAAACAAAGACAAACAATCAATGATTTTCAACATCGTCCTTCAATTGTATTGTTTCTTTGAAACTTCATTCTAGTGATAACAGATTTCACCCTGCTTTCAACATTCTCACATCTGTCAACTCAATCCAAATGTCTACTCCAGTTCAATCTTTATTGGCCGACCTCAAGGCATCCACTGCTCAACTTGTAGGCATCATTGCTGGCGCTCGGCACATCCCGGCCGGCTCAGTGGACGTCCAACTTGCTTTGACAAAGCAGGTCACCACTCTTTTGGTAAGTTGCACTCATTAAATTAGTTTACCATTGATGTTTCTAATATCCGGGTAGGCTGACATCATCCGGGCCCATGAGAAAGGGGAATACATCCCTGGCATTGTGGCGTCCTGCTCTAAGGAGCTGATGAGGGTGCGTTCCATGACTCCCCGGGCATTGCCCAACTGGCACGGCATTGGCCATGATGACCCCCGGGTGGCTAGACACGCCTGGCGCAAGCAAGTCCGTGCCTGGGAGGCGTTGGGTGACAATTCCTGTGATCTCCCTGTTGTTCCTAATCCTTCCACTGGCCCACTGACTGTCAACCTTCCGTCTCCACCTGTCCCTTCCCCCACACCTGTTCCTTCCCCCGCCCCTGTCATTCCCTCCCCTCCCGTCGTCGCTGGACCTTCCAGCAAGACGGGTACCGAGTTCCGGGACAAAGGAAAAGGTAAGGCCGTTTCTGTTGACCTGGAGCCGGAAGTCGGAGGGAGCAACAAGAGGAAGTCCCCGATGATTTCTGGACACTCCTCCCAACCTCCGAAGTCGGCGATGAAGGGTCGCAAGCGTGTCAAGTCAACTCGACTCCCCAAGTCAAAGCCGTTTGTGGAGTCGGAAGATGATGAAGACCCAATTGTTCAGGTATGTGTTCTGGCTCATTTGTGACATGCTCTCAATTTGTTGCAGCCGATTTCGCGTAGAGTGCCGGAGGTCGTTCTTCCCCAGCTCTCCACCATTGTTGTGAGGACGCCCCAGTTGCCTCGGTCACCTGGTTCCCCCAAGAAGCAATCATTTGGGCCTGCTTCGGTAAGTCTGATTTAGTCGTCCGGAACTCATATATATGCTCATGTGTCCACAGCTGACTGCCGGCAGGCGTCCAGAGGTCATGGTGAGTCTTTCGGACAGGTCCGGAACTCGCATATATCATTTTGACTCATGCCCATTGCATTAGGAATCTCCTGTCAGTTGTCCGGAGGCTCGGGTAAGTCTTACAAGCTCGCCCGGAACTCACATGCGTACTTACAATCTATCAGGCAACCTCCGGCAGTCGTCCGGAAGTTGAGGAGTCCTCTGATGATACTTCCAGCGCTTCAGGATGGTGACCCCCCGGCCAATACCACATTTGATATCACCATTCCCGGCCCGGTGAGTACTCCAATTAATTCCCCTAGTCCATCTACTAACCGATACCACAGAACAACCCCTGCCATTATTGCGTCAAGGAGGATTGGCCCTGCGCAACCCATTTTGACAAGAGGACCAACCTCCCCTGCTTGTCTTGCATCCGCTGCTCCACCAAGAAGATCAAATGCAACCCAGCATCTCTGGGATCCCCGCCCAAACGGATCCGAGGGAAGTCTACCACCGGCCGGACGCGTTCCAAGACATCTGCCCCTGCTCCATCCACTGCTCCGTCTCCCTCCTTGTCAAGGGCCCGAACTCGTAGTCAATCTCATGGCCCATCCCGAACTCCGGCCATCCCTGCTGCAACTACACCCCAGGTGCAGTCACGTGGTCGCAGCAAGACCATCACTACCAAGAAGACACCTGCACCTGCACCTGCACCTGCACCTGCACCTGCGCCAGCTCGTAAGTCACCCAAACTTTTGATGACCTGCTGACCTGATTTTTTACTTAGCTGTTCGGTCTTCGAGCTTCGCAGTGCCTCGTGCAGCACTCGATGTTCCCATGCCGGATCTCCATTCCATGGCAATTGCGATTCGGGATGGTGCAGCTCGCATCACTATTCTTGAGGCTCGGGTGCAGGAGCAGGATGCTAAGATTGATACCCTGCAACACCTCCATGAGAGCCTCCGGCGCACAGTGGTCGACCGGCACCCTTCATTTTCACTTCCGGATACACCGGCCGATGCAACAATCTTGCTTGATCAATCCGGTCCCCACCCGTCTATTTCACCCCTCCCCTCCACACTTTCCAACCTCATTGATTTGGACATTTCAGTGATGCAACCCACACCCTTGACGGTTGAGGATGGATCTGCTATGGTAGGTCTCATGGTTGAGCCCACCCAAGTTCAGCCTGAGGGTCCACAATCCTCCAGTGAAATTGTGCTCCCGGATGAACCAGGCAACCTCTTGCCAGAATCCTCCGGCAATATTGTGGTCCCTAATGAACCAGGTAACCTCCTGCCAGAATATGATTCTTCTGATGAGGAGTTGGATGTTGAGGGGAAGGTTGATCTTCCTGGTGAGGAGGTTGAAATGGCTACATAATTGCTCAGTGATAGATGTACATAAATCTTTTTCAATGCATGTTACCTATGCCACAATTGAATAATTTAATGACCAGTCCCGATATCCAGAACTCGAAACTGTAAATTGAGGTAGATATCACCCTAAACCCTAACACCCGAATGTCAAATTTTCAGTGCCGAACCCCGAGTGCCGGGTGCCGGGTGCTGAGTCCCGAAACCCGGAACTCAGGATTTGCCATTTGAGACTAATGACATTTTTCAGACATGTTTATATCAACCTATGTATATCTATAAACATTTTACTAACCCCCAAACCCCGACATATATTTTTGTTGTGTCATACTGAGTTCCGAGTTCTGGGACCCCCGAACCCCGAAACCCGGCAGTCCACAATTTCGGGGTTCGGGGGTTGGTAAAATGTGTATGGATAAATGGAAGGTTGATTTAGACATTTTTGAAAAATGTGTCATATCAAATGTCAAGTCCCGAGTTCCGAATTCCGGGTTTCGGGACTCTGGGTTTCGGGACTCGGCACTCCAGAAACCCGGAGTCCTGAAACCCGGAATTCGAAACTCAGGACTTGACATTTGATATGACACATTTTTCAAAAATGTCTAAATCAACCTTCCATTTATCCATACACATTTTACCAACCCCCGAACCCCGAAATTGTGGACTGCCGGGTTTCGGGGTTCGGGGGTCCTGGAACTCGGAACTTGGGAAATTTGGGGAGATCAATAAAATTTGATTTACAATCAAGTTGATTGACAAACACATTGACTTACCCATGTTTGAAATATATTTTTGTTGTCTCACATACCGAGTTCCAAGTTCCAGGACCCCCAAACCCCGAACCCCCAAACCTGGCAGTCCACAATTTCGGGGTTCGGGGGTTGGTAGATCTCGGTTTGGGGTTTTGCACTGAAAATTTGACATTTATATTTTTGTGAGTGTTGTGCTTCTGGTGTCTGTGCTTAGAAATAGGATATGTTGCACACCAGGGTTCAGGTGTGGGGTTTTTCCACTTCAGTCCTCAATTATTGGTCAATGCCACACATGGTCAATTCATGTTTTCGTGCTTAGGGGTTTAGATTCAGTGGTCGATGGTAGGTATATGCACTCATAGTGTACATGTATCCTACGTGTTTGATTGCTGGTGGCTACATCAGCTGTATGTCTTGATGAAACGTATCTAGGCTCACCCATATATGTACCCATCTATGTAGAATTCCCCCACGTCAGCCCACCCATCTATGTATTATCCCCCATGTCGGCCCACCCGTCTATGTAATACATCCTATGTTGGCCCACCCGTCTATATAATACATCCTACGTCGGCCCACCTGTCTATATAATTATACCCCACCTCGGCCCACCTGTCTATGTAATAGATATTTTATCACACCCTCGGCCCACCCGTCTATTTGATATCCCTTTTGTCAGCTTACCCATATATGTAATACTTTCCACGTCGGCCCACCTGTATATGTAATACACCCCACGTCAGCCCACCCATCTATGTAATATTCCCCTACCTCGGCCCACCCATATATGTAATACACCCCCGTCGGCCTGCCCGTCTATATAACAATATTTACCTTACATCTCTCTTCAGCCCAGCTGTCTATAATATCCTACTCTACATATTACCCAGATGGGCCCACCCATCTCCATGAATGATCATATTCCCCCGGCCCATCCGTCAACATCAAGGATATATATATCATTGGCATACATGGGCCCACCCATCTCCATTGGAAATAATATGTGTCCCGGCCCATCCGTCATCATCGAGAATATACACAACATGGGCCCATAATCCGCTGGCCCATCTCATACGGGATATTATGTAGGTCGGGTGGCCTGTATAATACGGAATTTGTCACTGAAGGGGCTCCACTAGGTGCATAGTTACTTGTTTTCACATTGCTAACATTGTCGACCACATTATTACATGTATTCCCATAGTCCACAGTACATCATGTCTTATTACATAGGACATCGGACCCGAAATATTGCACTACTACTTTCGCCTATAGGGTTCCGGATTTCTATGTATCTACTTAAATATTGGACTCCCCATAGCATCATCATCATCCGAGTAGAGGAGAATTGTCTCCGATGCTTAGGGGTCAAACCCGATATTTCGTAGTTCTTAGTTGACATTGCGAATATCATTGTTCCTTCACCGTCCGTACCCGTCATCGTTATTATTGCGCACACCGCTCGCTTTTCCGATGCTCGCTATCATGTCACTATTAGTTTCCAATACCCCGAACCCGAACCTGAACCCAATAACCCGAAACCTGAAAAACATCAGACCCGATGCTTTTGCATTGGACATCATAATTATACCTTCGGACATTGTTTCCCACGCTCGGATTATTGACCTCACATCACCCACTGACCCCCAAAACTATTCCCAGACTGCAGACC